TTCCCCTACTTTCATTCCCCAAATCAGGGCAGTGTTGGTCTGGACACATGGCCCGCTATGGGCACTGCTTTCCTCGCTCTGTTTCAGTAGCACGAAGCCAAGTGTCGTGTGGTTTTAGACCCTCAAACATCGCCGAGGCCACGCTACTAGTGCAGTGGAATAGAGCAGTGGAAGGCTTGTGTGTGCACGGGGTGCTTAGCCGGTAGGGGATGGGGCATCTGGCCTGTCCTCGACCCTGAGCCTGGGGCTGGGCGGGGCAGGAGTTTGCAGATTGGGGTAGGGAGAGACGTCGAGGCCAGAAACCAGGCAGCGGCAAATACGGTCGACGCAGCCCAGACCCGGGGTTCGTGGCTGGATTGTCCTGGACGTCACCCGGCGTGGCTGCCACTCACTCTGCCGACGGGGAAACTGAGCCGCAGAGAGCTCAGAGGACTGGCCCGAGACCTGTGGTTAGTTAGCAGCAGAGAAGGCACGAGGGCCTTATTCCCAGACAGGAGGTCAGCTTCCCACTCTGCCACCCGAGGAGGCTTAAAACGGGCACAGGGTTGCAAGAGAAATCCCCACTGCCCTCGGCTGGGGGTCGGTGGAAACCTCAAGTCCTCCTCACTGGCTGCGTTTCCAACTCTTCTTGCCTTGACTCAGCGCAGTTGCCTCTTCCGAGCATTTGGCTTTCGGCTGACGTGGACTCTCACACCCCTCCTCTGGAATGAGAGGAAGCTCCAGCATCAGGAGGACAGCGAATCTACTAACATCATGCGGTTGCATCACCGGGGGTTGGGGGGGACACCCAGAGGGGTGGGCTTGCGCTGCGCCTCCAGGAATAATTCCGGGGACCGCCCAGCGCTAACCCTCGGCCCTGTCCGGAAGGGGCAGCGGGAGGTTGCACTGCAGAGGCTGGGTTTAGGAACATGCCGCACAGCTGCAGTCCAGGGGTTGGGGGGCAAAGATGGGGGTGCCCCTCAGCAATGGCCTGGATGCTGGAACGTGGGGTCTGGCTGCCGAGACTGCAGTCACAACTTCCCTTCGAGTCCTGGAGCCGGTGGTGGGGCTCTGGGGTGCAGAGCCCGGCCGCTGCCCCTCGGCACTCAGGGAGCTGGGGTCTTGCGTTGGCTTCTCCAGGACTGGGTGTCTGTGTCCAAGTTCCCCGAGACAGAGCCTGAGACAGGGTCCTGCACAAGTGCTCACTGACGGGGCAGCTCCCAGGAGAAGCCTGGAAGGGGCAGGGAAGGGGGCAGGGTGGGAGAAGCTGCTCATGAAGGTGCTCTGGAGGGTGACGGTGCTGCAGGGGGCGTCTGGCGCAGGGGCAGTGGCCCGGAGTGCACCCACATTCAGACGCCACTGGCTGTGGGTGACCCCGAGGGAGATGGGATATGACCCTATACTATAATAATCGTCTATTGCTGTGTGACAAACTGAGCAATTTACAGTAACACACATTTATTATCTCGGGTCAGGAATCTGGGCCTGACTTACCCGGGTCCTCTGCTGGGGTCTCAGAAGAGCCTTGGTTTCTGGAACTCAGGGTCTTTTCAAAGCTCATAACGTTGTTGGCAGAGTTCAGATCCTTGTGGTTGCAGGACTGAGGTCTTTTCTCTGTGCTTGTCAGTCGGGGACTGCTGAGAGCCCCGAGGGGCCCCCACATGTCCTAACCATGTGGCCCTCACAGCATGTGGCTGAATTCATCAGAGCCAGCGTCTTGGTCTGTTTGGACTGTGGTGCACAAAGTACCGTAAATCCGGCAGGTGGCTTCAACAACAGAGGTTCCCGGAGGTTGGAAAGTCCAGGATCAAAGTGCGAGCAGATTTGGTGTCAGGTGAGGGCTCACTTCCTGGTTCGTAGACGGCTGGGCGGCTTGTTTCTGTGTCCTCATGGTGGGAGGGGCGAGGGGCTCTCTCTGGCCTCTTTTATAGGGACACTGATCCCATTCACAAGGGCTCCTCCCCATGACCTAAAAACCTCCCGAAGGTTATACTATCTCCTTGGGGGTTAGGATTGCAACATATGAATTTTGGGGAGGACACAAACATTCAGACCATTGCAACCAGCAAGACAACCTTAGTCTTCTAGAGCAGAGTCTCATGTAACATGAAGTTACCACTTTATCGTAACCGAATCCAGGGAGGGACACCTCGCATCTTTGTCATATTCTGTTATAGGCTGGAATCAAGGCTCAGGGTCCACTTGCACTCCAGGGGAGGGGATGACACAAGGGCTCGACTCCTTGGGGGTCACCTTAGAATTCCACCGGCCACACATACCCCAATGTCTCCAGAAGAGGCAGCTTCCGTATCTGTGAGCACTCCCCCAGGAAAGAGCACAGGTGTGACCCCTTGGCAACTGACTGTCACACGCAGGGGTCTGGGAGAGGCACCCATAGCACCGTCCACACTGTGCTTGCAGCCACAGCAGCAGAACAGCTACCGGCGCCTCCCGCCCACCTTCCAGACACCAGGGCACATGCCTGAGTGGGGCGGGCCCACCCCCCATTCAGAGCTGGCACTACGGGGGAACCTGGGAAATGAGTTTTTAACTTTCTAACTTGTGCAGTTCAGGGAAGGTTGAGGGAAAGGAGATGGGAAGAGGCGCCAAGGGGCAGTTCCACCCAACGGTTAAGGGGAAACTGAGTCACGAGATTCTGTGACTTATGAGGTCCCTCGAATGGCCAGTTCCAGACCCAGGACTCTTGGTATTTAGGGCAGTGCTGAGTTTTGAGACGGTTTTCCTCCTGGGACAAGGTGGGAGAGAGGAACTGGACATTTCAGTGAGAATCCCAGATACTGGTGATTAAGTGAGAAAGCCATAGAACCAAAAGCATAAGGGAGGTTTGCCACCAACTGCCACCAGCTTCCAGAGGTTTCCAGAGCCCCAGGCAATGTTGGAGAGGGTGTAGATCGTCAATAATTAGTTATAGTTAAGTATTAAAGAATATGGATCCTTAGTGCATGGGGGCTTTTATTTCTTTAACTCTTGTTCTAAATGATTTATCACCTTTGCCATTTAAATGCTGTCATCCCTGGGTTGGGGGTTGGTCCCAGGGTCTCCCACGGATATCAGCATCCATGGATGCTCAAGTCCCTGGTATAAAATTGTGTAGTGTTTGTATATGACACACACACATCCTCCCAGTACTGCCAGTCATCTCTAGATGACTTATAACACCTAATGCAATGTAAGCACTTTGTAAATAACTGTTACAGTGTGTTGTTTAGGGTATAATGGCAAGAAAAAAGTCTGTACCTGTTCAGTACAGGTAAGATCATCTATATTTTTTGAATATTTTTGAACCACAGTTGGTTGCATCCATGCGGATATAGACATCACCCATGTGAGGGGTGACTGTAATAGGAATTTCTGAAGCCAAGGAATGTGTATTCTTAGCTGTCTTGAAAAGAAAAAGGTGTATTTGTAAAAGAAACTATGTGATGGGAACATGTAAAAGGTGCTTGTTCAGTTAACTTCCGTGAGCCGAGCCGCTGGGAGCACGAGGTTGCCATCAAAGGCCGTCTTGTTTGCAGCGGACGACACACCCGGGAGAAATCGTTCTCCTAAGTGCTCAGCTTGCAGACTCTAACCAAGGACGCGGCAGCAAATGTCCCAGCGCCCCACAGGGGCCCAGTTCTGTGCCTGCTCTGTGGAGAGAGGTTGTGGGTGGGACAACCGGAGTCCCCCTGCAGGGGAGTGATGTCTTCCCACATGTCAGGCGTGCAGTGGGGGTCCACAGCCGGAGCCTCTGCTGGGTTTGTGGCCACCTGTGGGTGACGGGTGGGGAAGCCCCATCATCCTGGCCTCCATCCTTGCTCCCACCTGGTGTCCTGCAAGCCAGACCTCTGGGGCAGAGTCGAAGGGGGCCCCTTCATGGGTGAGTGGGGGGCCCGGAGCTGCAGGGCGGAGAGGCGTTCTCTCCCCTTCTCCCCTAAACTGGGAGGGGATGATCCTTGGACAGAAGTTAATGATCTCTCTACTCTTGAGACATGGCTTTGGAAGGTTCTCAAAGTCAGTAATACCCTCCAGATATCTCTTGGCATTCTCATTAACTGACTTTTCACATGGGCTGAGAGATGGGAGAAGATGGAGAATGTTGGGGGGGTGTCCCAGGCCAGGGTGGCCTTCTGAGCTCTGCTGCTAACCCAGTTAGAAACTTGTCCAGCTTGGAGCTCAGGCATCCGCCAAAGGCCGCTTAGTTCTCCTGGGCTCCAGCCTCCTGGAAGGACTGCAAGTGGAGTTTTCCTTAGTAACAATGCCCCTTATCCTCTCTGAATGTTGTTTTTCTCGTCTGTAAAATGGGACCATAATTTCACCTAACAAAAAGTGGCATCTATCTATTTAAAAGGGCTTAGGGAGGCGATGTTCATGATAAAAGAGATAGTGTATATTAAAAAGTGCTTTGAAATGTGCAAAGCTTTGTTGAAATGCAAGAAACTCTGAGCAAGAAGGCCATTTTCATTCCCCTGGTCTGTGTCCTAGAATGGGACTATTAGCCCCACAATCAGAATCATTATGTATAGAACTTAAAAGAAATGCAGACTCTTTTTTTTGCCTTTTCACTGGCAAACAGAGCTTTGGTTAGTGGAAAGTCTAAGCGATTTCAATTGCTGGTTTTTATATTTGAAAGGGGAGGTTATTAGGAGAAGTCTCAATTCAGAAACTTCAAGAAGAAATGGGAGGGTGTGGTGAGGGTTGGAGGGGGGATTACATTTCCTGTTTTCCTTTCAGATGGTGTTGGAAAACATTGCAGGAAAACCATGGATACCTACGAAGAAATTCCAAAATTTATTCTTTTTGCCACCAGGGGCCCAGCCCAAAGGTGACGAGTAGAAGCGGTCAATTTTTTTTTTTGTAAGAGTTGGGGCTTTCAGGAGTCCAGCTAAAAGGCTCGTAGGGTGAAGACAGAATTCCGAGGGTGACATCAGCCTGCCTCGGGGGCCAGGAGCAACAGAGCGCAGGAGTCTGGTTTTCATTTACAGTTTGGGTCAGTCCGCAGCGAGGATGGGGAGAGGAGGGGTCGGGGAGGAAGGGCGGGAGGAGGAGGAGGAGGAGGAGCTGGAGGAAGCCCTGACTGTACCCCTGGCCCCCGTCCAGCTTGGAGCTCAGTCGTCCACCAAAGGCCGCTCAGTTCTCCTGGGCTCCAGCCTCCTGCAAGAGGAGTTTTCCTGGCAGCGCCTGGAGCCCCCGCTTGCCTCCGCTTGGGCAGGGGAAGGCTGCAAGGGAGAAGGAGACCAGTGTGCGGGGAAAATATGCATCCTGTTCAAACATAATTGAACTCAGAAGCGCAGGGACACACGCAGCTTCAGGTTCGCTCAGGGGTAAGTGCGACTTCGCCTGCCTTCTCAGGTTGGCGGGCGAGAGGGACGCGCTCTCACCCCGAGGTGCCCGTTCTCTCGTTGACTTCGGCGGCTCTTGCGACGTCCGCTCTGCCGGCCCGTTTTCCGTACCTGTTTTCGGTCTCCGTGAGAGTCCGCTGGTTTTTCTCTCGCTTTGTGGCCGCTGGGTCTCCTCACCCCGGTTAAGGTCTCGGGTCGCCGGAGAGCGCGCCAGCTTTCAGCCCGGGCTGCGGGCGGTCTCCGCGCCCCGTGGGGTCCCGGCTGCAGCGCGTCTCAGCGCGTGATTTATTTGAAGTCGTGTCCTCCCCCGAGAACCCGGTGGGGATCTGCTTTGTCTGCAGGAGTGCCTTTGCTGAGGACAGCAAGAGCTGCCCCACAGGCGGCTCCGCGGGAGGCTGGCTCTGAGCTCTGGGGCGGTGGCACCGAGTCAGGCTGCCTCTGGTGGGTTTCCTGCTCGGGTCCCCCCACCCTGGGAAGGGGCTGGCGGGCACCTCTGTTGCCTTCGGGAGGTTGGGTGGTGGCTCTGGGGCCCAGGCTCGGGGCGGGTGCCGGGTTCCCCCGTTGGCCCTTTGCCTTCGGGGTTTCCCTTTTTGGGGACCCGGGGTTCCTTTTTGCGGTGGCGGTTTTCTTTTGGGTTGCTTAAAGGAGCCGCAGGGTCAGGGCAGGAGGAGGAATTTGGCGTCTGGGCGGGTGCCGAGTGGATAAGGCAGGGCTCCTGGGGCTGCAGGCCGGCCGTGTTGCCCAGGGGCGAGGCTGGTGCCAAGCTGGGAGGCCCCAGGGCTGTTCCCTGGCCCGGAGGATGCAGGGTGGGGCTCGGGTCCTCTCTCCCCGAGGATGGAAAGTGTTCCCTGACGGTTGCCGGCCTGTTTGGGGGACCTGTTTTAAGGGCTTACTATGCTAGAAAATGGGCTGGGATTGGACAGGGGTGGGGGCCCAGGGCGTGCCCCGGGGGGACCGGGGAATGGGTCGAGAAAAACCAGCTTCCACAGCAAGCCCAGGAGCAAATTTGGAGGCTGGCGTGGACCCAAGAACAACCTTCTCCGGGCTCAGGGGAGGACCCTGCACCCCCTGGGGACGCTGCCCGTGCCACCCGTCCCCTCTCCCTGCACACGGCGAAGCCCAGATGGGAACCACGGGACCCCAGAGCCGGGAGGGTGCTCGGGGCTCCTGCGGGAAGTTCATCCTCAGCCTGGCACCCCACACCCCAACTCCCAGGGGACCCACTCCCAGCACTGCAGAAAACCGAACAGAAGTGGCTTTACGATCCAAATCATGTTGCTCCTGCCGCCGCTGTATTGCAACTGGATGGTTGGCTGTGGGTGACATAACTGGGGCTTCTGAGTTCTTTGCTGGGCTGAGGGTAGTGGAAGAGGCACTTGGTTGGAAGCCACTGGCTTTAAAACTGAGGAAGCAGAGGCTCCGAGGTGTGAACTCCTTGTGGAGGGCAGGCGCGTCTGAGATGGCAGGGGACTCCTCTCCCGCTGCTGCCGGGAGCAGAGAAGCCAGCCACAGCCATTCGCATCTGGACGGGAAAACCGGTGCGGGCTCCTAAGAATCTACCAGTAACGGAGAGAGAAGGGAGGCTGCCCGCAGGGAGGGGGGGTCTGTGGCCGGAACGCCGAAGCCGGCCCCCTCACTCCAGCGGGGGCGGGCGGCCCAGCGGGACCTGGGTTTGCCTCGTCCTGGGGCGGGCTTGCAGCTGAGCACGAAGGCACAGGCGTGGGCGGCGGGCTTCTACAGAAACCGAGATGCAGGAAGGGCCCTGTGTCTGGACGCCGTCTTTGTTTAGGGCTTTTCATTTACCGTGAGGATTAGTTTTCTCTTTTCCTCACTGGTGGCAGGGAGAGACCAACAAGTGAGCAGGGGACGCAGAGTGGAGATGAGGACTTGGGAAGGGGCACGGTGGCAGTGGCAGGGCGGGGGAGGGTGGCTGTCCTGCCTCTGCCTGTCTGGGACGGGGAGGGTGTGGCCACAGCACCTTTCTGGGAGGTGGCTGGGGAAGCCTCTAGAATGTTAGCCCTTGGCCAGGGCTCTCTTCCCTCTTGGGAAGGGTGTGTCCCCTGCCTGTAGCTGTGGCCCTTAGGTGATGGGACATGGCCAATGTCCAAACCTGGGCTCTTAATGATATTTTTGGTAAGAGGCAGGCATCTTTCCGAACAAGAATCGTCTTTGCTTCTGCACTTCCCTGTACTTCTAGAATGTTCAGAAATGACTACATCTCACTGACTTATCAGACGTGCCCTTTGTGCTTTAGTATCTTAGTAACTTAACATATGGCGGACGGTAGAGTAGGAAGAAACCCCTCTATTCGATCGATGATCCGTCATCGATTAGTGGTTCAAAGGAGGCTTCCCCTCCTGACCTCAGTTTCCGGCGTGGAGCTGCTTGACGCTGATGCTCAGTGCCGGCTCGAAAGGAGGCGTCCTTCCTCCTTGGAAGTCGGTGGTGGGGCTGCGCCGGTGCCTTGCGTCCTTGCCCAGAGCGTGTAGACAACGGGGTGAGGCACGGTCCCCACCGGCAGGCCGCGCCACTCCCCACTCTCATGTGAAATTCCACGTTCGGGGTTTAAAATTCACGGACAAGCCATGAATTCTGTTGCAGGAGACTTTCTTGCCGGCACGCTAGCAACTGTAGCCAAAAGTTTTCATTTGAAAAAAATTAGTGTTTGTCACTGTTCTTTTTGGAAGAAGCTGGGAACGTGGTGCCTCGTGGGGGAAGAACTAACTGCAGGTGGTTTCCCCGGCCGGAGGGGACGTCGTGTGCTGGGCAGCTTCCCCGCCCGACCTACAGAAGCAGGCTTTTCACGACGTCCTGGCTGTGGCAGGCAGTAAAACACTCACCAGTGCGACAGAAATAGCTGACGGTGTGAGGAGTGACATTTAAAAAAGTGCTATTAGTAGCTCTAGCTGAGGAAATGGAAGCCCAGAATGATTCAAATTTTAAGTCAGGGGAGCTTTGAAAGGTCTCTGCTGACTCAGACAGCCGGCGGGACAGAGCTAGCAAGGGTGGTCCTCTTCGTCCCCCCGTTTCTAGATACAGCCTCTCTGTTTCCACCGTCGAAGTTCCGGGAGAAAAATCCTACTCTTTAGAAAAAAAAAAACAGATGTTGCTTGTCCCTTCGAAAGCACAGTGATGCACGTCTTATTCTCAGGGAGTACCTACAGGTCCTCGTTTTGCAAAAAGGGGTTCTCTGCAGGAATGCATCATATTGCTTCTTGAAAATATAATTTTTAATACATGCTGGTCTCTCAGTCCTATTTCGGGAAGGAGATACTTTTTTTTCTGAAAAGGCAGTTAGGTTTTCTTTCCTCTAGAGGGCGGTGTATCCTGCCGAGCTCCAGAAAGATCTCGAAGTGGCAGCTGGAGTCTGCCAGGGTGGGGTGTCAGGGTTGTCAGGGACTGGCGATGCCCATCTCCACAGAGCTTTAGGACAGACAACGGACACATGACTGTTGGTATTGCTAGTGCGGCTGTCCAGCATAACTGAAGCGGACATAAATTTAGGGCTTTGTTTCTCTTCTATGCTCAGGTGCGTGACATGGAGATGAAATTGTGCCTTCAAAGGAGGCATTCTGCATTCTAGAACAATCGCATTACCAGGGCATTAAGCCAATAAGACATTTCAAACATATCTGTTAATAATTGCAAAAGCTTAAATTAACAGTCAGGTGCTTGGGAAGCTAGTTTGCGTATTCATGCCACGCTGTATGTTCCCTGTAGAATTTCTGAACTTTAGAACTGGAAGGGGTACTAAGGTTAACCGATGCAGTAACTCTCAAAGTTTTCGTTACCTGTCCTTCTTTGATATTTTCCCCTTTGATATTTTCCTTTGGTGGATGGCTGGTTTGATGCATTTAAAAAAAATTCAGACAAACTATAGTTATGAATGCCCCATTTTAAATATTTGTTAATAAAAAAAAATATTACTGACTTTCAGACTTATGATTGTTAGCCTGAGATAGCCACTATTAGGGCCCTGAGGTATATAGCATGCCAGCTCAGGACAAAGAAACCCACCCCTTCATTTAACCTCAGCGTCGTGAGACCTACTGAGCTCCCTGGCATTGAGCTTGGAGGTTGGGGGAGGGGACACACAAGAGCAAGACGTGGCCCTGCTCTCCTGGTTGGCAGGCATAGACTTCCTCTTTGGCTGCATAAGATATCGAAAAACCCGTTACCTCGGAGGATGCTTTCCCCGCACCCTTGATGCTTCAGATGAAGCAATGGAGCTGAGAGAGGTGAGTGCTTAGTGCCAAGGCCACAGAGCTAGTAGGAGAAGCGCCACCAGCACCTCTGAGCGCTCTGCACGCGTCTGCTGCATCCAGCAAGCAGGTGTCTGGGGCCTGGGACCTTAAAAGAGAGACAAGACTTTAAAGATATATTTTGGGGGACACGTGGAGGAAGATGCTCTCTCTCCATTTATCAGTCTTCTTTGGAGTAGCGTCTTTTAAGTTGACTTAGCAGAGGGGTAACTGCTGTAAAAAAAAAAAAATCTGGAAAGAAAAAGGAGAGAAGAAAAATAAAACAAACACAAAAAGTTCTGCCAAGCCCTCTCCCAAAGGCAAACGGTCAGCCTTGTAAGGGTCTGGCTGCGCTTGGCATAGCGCGGTCCTGCTGTTCTGCTGGACTTTCAGACTCAGGAAACGCATAGCAACGTCTGGGAGTTGGGAGTGGCCGGGGAGAAGTGCGGTGGGAAACCCTGTTTCTGCCCAGCACCCCCGGCGTGTGCCCCGCATGTCCGATTCTCAGGGGCTCAGAGCCTCAGGAATTGGCCACTGGAAGGAAAGGCTCCTGGGTCGGTTCGATTTCAAAATTAAAAATTGAGCAGCAGCTGGAGATGACTCAGGTCTCAGGGGAAACCGTTCCAGGAAACTGGCTTTTCACTTCTGGAATCCTCGCTAATTGATCCGGCAGCCCAGCGCCGGCACCCAGAGCTAGCGCCAGCTCAGCTAAACCCGCGGATGGGCCGGGCCGCGTGCCGGGTGGGGGTGGGCTCTCTGATTCTCACTGGGGCAGGGAGAAGCCGCCACCCGTCAGAGCCCAGGCCGGGGCGGCGGATGGAAGGCAGCGGTCACAGGGCTGTTGCCTGTTCAAGCAACAGACAATTATCCTTAATTCACACGCAAAAAAAAAAAAAAATCGAGGCTGGGAGAGGTTCACTGACCGTTGCTGATGGGCACAGTGAGGAAGTAGATTTTCCCAGGTTATTACGCTAAATCCAGTACTGACGATATTTTATCAGATGTTTCTACCCATTTTTTTTTAAAAAGGTCTCTATTTTGAAAAAAATCATATTCTCTTCCATACTTGATTATGAATCAGACTAGAAAAAAGAAAACCAAACAAAAAGTAAATTTTCCGTACAACGTGAGAACATTTCAGCCGCTTTTCTTGCACAGTTTCACAACGGAAAGCCGCCGGGCCGGAGCCGGCGGCAGCACCGTGGCCAGGAAAGGACGCGGGACAAACGCAGAGCGCCGGCCTGGATCAGCAGTGCCCTGCCTCGTCGAGGGTGGGGGTGGGGTGCGGGGGGGTGGGTGGGACGGAGCTGGCATTTGTGCAATTGAAGCACTGTCTAACGCACTCCCTTTCTTAACGTTAGAACGGAAATAGTCTCTGCCTAGTGCTTATAATTCGCGATACGAATGGAGACAGAAGCCTCGTCTGGCTGCCACACCTTGAGGGGCGTAGAGTGCTTTTTACATTTGCACGGTGGCGTCTGGCTTTTCACAGCAGATATGGAACTCTCTGGTTCACAGTTATCATCATGAGTGCTGCGATGCTAGGAATACCTTTTATTTGTTTATTTATTTATTTTTTTTGAGACAGAGCCTCACTTCTGTTGCCCGGGCTAGAGTGAGTGCTGCGGCGTCAGCCTAGCTCACAGCAACCTCAAACTCCTGGGCTCAAGCAGATCTCCTGCCTCAGCCTCCCGGAGTAGCTGGGACTACAGGCATGCGCCACCATGCCCGGCTAATTTTTTCTATATAGTTTTAGTTGGCCAATTAATTTGTTTCTGCTTTCAGTAGAGACAGGGTCTTACTCTTGCTCAGGCTGGCCTTGAACCCCTGACCTTGAGCAATCCACTGGCCTCGGCCTCCCAGAGTGCTAGGATTACAGGCGTGAGCCACCGCGCCCAGCCAGGAATACATTTTAAAGTAAATCCCCAAATATCTGGGCAACTAATCTGGAATTTCTTAAAGTTGCCTTTGTGGTAGGGAGGAAACCGGCCTCTGAGGAGCCTGACGGGAGCCTGGCCGGTGCTCAGCACGTCCCTAAATGCTATCTCACTTATAGAGGCGGCCGAGCGTCAGAGGACATCCAAACCCCCTCCTCCTACGCTGCTTCGTTGCGCCTCAGGAGCTGGTGGGCAGGTATTGCCGCGCCGGGTTTTACCAGGAGGAGCTGAAGATCTCAAGTCAGCTGCTCAGGATCCCACAAGGACACCGGCAGGTGACCAGGAGGCTGAGTCACCCTAAGGGATGAGGAGAGTTTTTGAATTTTGCTGTCACAGGACACATACTCAGTCTGAGTCAAATAGATTATTGTTCTATAGTATTTTCATAGAATAGACATGCAAGATCCAAGTTGTAAAATAAGTGGTAAAAAAAAAACAAAACACCCACATCTCTATGTATTTCTTGGGAGGGTTTCCTCAGTCAGTTCCTTGTTCCAAGTCAGTTGCTTTTGCGGATTTCCCCAAAGATCTTTCAAACAGCAACAGCATATTAAACTCTACTCTTCTCCTTCCATAAATGCGATGTCTAATAGATCTCTTCTTAGCTGCCTCCCTGGGGACAGAATGGGGACTCCTTTCTCAGGATTCAGGCACAAAAGGGGAGAAAGAGTGAAAAAAAGCAAGAAATAGGCACTCCCGTTCCGGCAGGCAAGGGAGGGGTGTGGCCAAGGTGAGGGCGGGTGGGTGCCTCAGATTTACTGAAATCTGACTTTTCATTCCACGGTGGACACACGTGGCTCCCCTGCTGTGGTCTGTGACTATTTCTGCAGCTCCCACTTTACACGGGACGGGGATGAGTTAACCAGGAGTCCCAGAACTTGATAGGAGGGATAGCCTGATGTTAAAGAGCAGAACTTGCAGAAAACCAAATAAATGACTTCAAAATGGGAGCTCTGGATGTGTTTAAGCCTTTGTCTTAAAATTACTTCCTTGTGTGTATGTGTGCGTCTCTTTCTTAAAAAAGATTTCCAGACATGGAAAATGAAAAAGCCTTTGAGTGGGATAGATGAAAACTAATTCCACAGAATTGCAAAATAGCCTGGGAAAATCTTGGGGGTAAGGATTGAATATGATTTCAAGTTGAAGGGCTGTGTAGGGCAACTTTTATAGGAAGAAGAACCTTTTTAAAATTTCAAGGCAATGGCAAGCAAATAGAAAAAGGCACCTCAAATCCATTTTAGAGTGAGACAGAGTGGGGGGAAAAAACGGAATGAATAAGACTAAATAGAAAGATGAGAATACAAATTTAATGGCCCTCTCTTATTAAATCTGTTGCCTTAGGACACAGAATCTACGGCAGATAGCCCCCAAGCCCCAGCCCAAGGGTCTCAAGCCGTCATTTCTGACCTCTTTTTTTCATATTTGAAAGAACAGCAGCAGGCGGGTTCTGTGGACACCAAGGAAGTCTGTTTCCCCCGACAAAGATATGCGGAGTTGCCTCGAGCTCTGAGCCAAATCGGCACGGCCTCTAGCGTCTCCTGGGTTTCCCAGGGGCTTCGGAGACGCAGACTCGGGTTAGGGTTGCGGTGCTGTCTGGGTTTATCTACGCGACTTTGGCGCATCCCTTTGCCTCGCCCGGTTTCCGTTGCTCAGCTCTGAAGTGGAGGGAAAGCAGACACTGGGTTGTTGGGAGGAAGGCGTGAAATCCCTCCCACGGGGCGGAAGCCCGGGCAGCATCGCTAGTGCCAGCCTGCGTCCCCTTCCTGGGGGGGGCACTGTGGGAGGGGAGTGGGGGGTGGCTGCCTCATTCCCCCTCATTAAAATGGTCAAGGCGGGTGGCCACTTAGCGGGATGGTGTTTGGCATCTTTTAATGATGCAAATAATAATAAAAAAAACAATTCTCCAAGATTTGCTGCCAGGGAATTCAGTTTTAAAAATTGCAGCTCCAGGACATGATAAACAATAGAATAGATTTAATGGCAAAAAAACAAAACAAAACAAAAAAACCCTTAAGGAAACATCCAACAGCCAGGCTAGGAACCTGTGTGCCACATGGCTGACTGGCTCCCAGCAGGACGGCAGGAAGAGCAAGCGCCCGAAGGCGTTGTTCCCGCCCGGGAGTCCAGCTGATTCACGCCGCGTGGGCGGACGCACGGTTGGCGGGCGCTGGGGCGCTCATCACCTACCCCCCGGGCAGCTCTCATCTCGCCTCCTCCTCCTCCTCACACTTGGAGAAGCTTCTCCCCTCCCCCCTTCCCTCAGTACCTGCGTATCTTCTGGGAAAAGGCGATTTCCGCGAACTGCGTGTTTATCTCATGACTTTGTGTCCCGGCGGAAAGTACCTCGTTTAGGGAACTCCTCCTCTGAAGATGAGTATCTTGGGGACAAAAGTCTGTAACGCAGGAGTTTCAACCCATTCCAAGTTCATTATCCTCAGAGGATGGAGGCAGGGGGTGCTGGCTCAGAAAGACGCCACGGATTTCCTCCCGTTACTATTTAGACTTTATGGAGTGCCCTTGAAGACAGGAAGAGAATTTTGGGATGGCTCCGCAGTGACCCCACTCGGTGTTGAATATGCGACGGGATCAGTGGAGGCAAAGGCATGCAGTGCGTGAGGAGCAGGGCTGGGGAAAACTCGTGAGCGTTCTCTGCCAGGGTCGCCGGCCGAGGGGCGGTCAGCTCTTCCCGCCGTCCACAGTCCGTCCACGGTGGGCGGACAGACCTCCTCTCATCCTGTCCTCTTCCTTCCGTGTGGCTCACACGGTCCGGTGCTTTGCAATGAGACTCTGTAATATGCTTATGCTCTTATGCTCAAACAAAAATACCATGTAAAATGGCACGTCTTGTGGGTGGATTACATATTTAAAATAATTAAACTGGATCTCCCGGAAGATTTGCGTTACAATTTTTGGCTGGACCAGTGACGCTTAAACTTTGGAGGTGGTGGCGGCACGGCTGCCTTTTAGAGTCACGTACGGACGTGGACCCTGTCCCAGAAAAGCCACATTCACAGACGCGATTTTGTACACAGTTGTGGGAAGACTCTTTGAATCTGCGGATCCCGTGTTAAAACATTGATCCAGACCAATTACAATACTGCAGGTTGTTTAGAAAGAGCAGGCCATATTCCTGGAAAGAATCTAGCAGGATGCTTTTTTTTTTTAATACCAAAAACCTGCTGTTTCATTTTAATAGAAAGAGCAACATTCTAAAGTGTACATCATCACTTAATTGAGGTCATACCAAAAAAAAAAAAAAAAACACAGACATTGCACTGGCTTTTGTTTTTTAAAGAAACACTTAGGAATGGGTCTAACAGGGTGCGGGGAAGGAAGGCAGAGTTTTCCAGAAATGTCTGGAAGATTCCAAGAGTGGCACAAGCTTTGAGGGGTTGCTAGAGCAGAGGGGCAGAGCCAGGGCTGTGGGCGCGCTGGGGCCATTCTCAGTGGGGGCAGACCAGCCCGTGGAGCCTTGGGTTTTCTATGCTGCCTGTGGGGAGTGCCCTGAGCCTGTGTGTGGCTGGAAACTGCTAGAACTTGGGAACACTGTCAAACCAAAGCACAGACTGTTGGAGACTGCACTTCTGTATTGTGTATATCCGTGTCCAACAAGCATTGACTGTTTCAAGCCCAGAGGCTTGGACTGTGCTTTTGCAGTCTTGCCATTATCACCACATATTGGTGTCGCTTTGCTGCGGAAAGAAATATGTGCTGTTGATGACCGGCCTCCTGGTCGTCACTGGAACGGCATTCCCTTCTCACCATTGATACATTTCCAAGGGAAAGTTGTATTGACAGGTGGTTCTTGCTGCTGAGATCATGTCTTCAAGTTCCCCGAATCTGAAACGCAGGGTAGATTAGTTTCATCACAGGTGATACTTTTTGTTGACTTTATTTGGCCATCCAAAACCACAGTGGGTTTTGGAGCTCATTCCCTTGTTTATGGCTTTGTCTTTCTCCATCCCAACAATTTTTAGGAGGCCAGGCCTACGGCCGCACTGTGTCCTGCTCTTTCTCATAGCTGGCTGTCAAGATTTGGACTCCAGCTCCTCCCTCTACCCGACCTCAGGCAGGAAGGATTTCATGGCAAATCCAGGGACTGAGCTTCAGATTTGTTTTTGCGTCCACTTCAGTCTTGTCCCTGAATAAGGGTGTGCCCCCTTGCTCTCTGTGGCCCTGCCCGCCATCTTGCTTAGTGGTCCATCTGGACATGAGTGCCCTACCTCATTTGTAGAAAAGCCATGCCATTAATCAGCCAGACTATCCGCTGTTGTCACTCTCTAGATGGCAAAGTTGAGAGCATTAGACCACCCTCATCTCTGGTTTCATTAGAGAGGTGGGGAAAAGGATTTCCTGCACTGTACAACGGACGGCCGTGAACAGGATCGCAGGGCCCACGGAGCACTGTGGCTGGAGGACAGCTGAGAGGGAGACGGGAACTTGGACTTTAGGTGGAGCCAATTCCGTAGCTCAGAGGACACTAGTTAGGGCAGAAGTAATGTTTGCCCGGGTCCGAATGTTCACATGGATTCTCTGTTACTTTCACAAGACTCAAGTCTTCTTCCCGAAACCCTAATGTTTTGCATGCCATACACTTCTTTTTTCCTTTTGGAATCTCATTGAGAAGCAGGACAGATATGTTATTTGAATACTGGAGCACATACATGCGCTTTCAGAAGGTATTTAGTTGTGTTATTTCCCCCTTTTAGCCCTTAAATTCCATCATACCTGGAAAAAAAGAGATGCCACACGTACGTCATTCCTGTTCAATTGATGGCTACATTTTAGGCGTATGTAGTTACCCATGACTTTAAAAACCAGAAAGTGGTTTTTCCTGTGCTCACTTTTATTTATTACTTATTTGTGGTAAAAAACCACATAGCATAAAATTTGCCCTCTTCACCATTTTAAGTGTATGCTACAGTAGTGTTAACTGAATGGACCTCACTGTGCAAAAGATATCTAGAACTTTTTGCTCTTGCAAAACTGGAACTCTATCTCTGTTGAACAGCAACTACCCTTTTCTCCCTCCCCCAGCCCCTGACAGCCACCATTCCACCTTCTGTTCCTGAGAGCTTGACACTTTAGATACCTCATGTAAGTGGGATCACACAGGATTTGTCTTTCTGTGACCGGCTTACTTCACTTAGCATGGCATCCTCGAGGTCTATCCACGTTGTAGCGTACCACAGGATTTCCTCCTTTTTTAAGGCTGGATAATATTCCATTATGTGTATGTAGCACATTTTCTTTATTTATTCATCCGTGAATGGACATTAAGGTTGTTTCCACCTTTTGGATATTACGAGCAATGCTGAAATGAACATGGAAGTGAAAATATGCCTTCCAGATCCTGATTGTAATTCTTTTGGATATATATCCAGTAGGGGATTGCTGGATCATACGGTAATTCTAATTTTAATTTTTTGAGGAACCTCCCTACTATGGTGGCTGTCATCTCCCCATTGTGTAGCTTTATCGAAAAAGGAAGATCATTCGATCACATACCTGAGGGTTTATTTCTGGGTTCTCTGTTCTGTTCCATTGGTATATATGTCTATCTTTATGTCAGTATCACATTGTTTTCATTACTGTAGCTTTGTAATATGTTTTGAAATTAGGAAGTGTGAGGTCTTTAGCTTTGTTTTTCTTTCTCATTGCTTTTGCTATTCAGTGTCCCTTGAGATTTCCTATCAATTTTAGTATTTTTTTCTATTTCTATAAAAAATGCCATTGGGATTTTGATAGGGATGGCATTGAATTTGCAGATTGGTTTTAGCAGTGTGGATATTTTCACGATATTAGCCTTCATATCCATGAACATAGGATGTATTTCCATTTATTTGTGTCTTTTAAAATTTCTTTCAACAATGTTTTATAGTTTTCAGTGTACAAGTCTTTATTTCCTTGGTTAAGTTTATTTCTCTTTTATTCTTTTTGATGATATTATAAATGGGATTGTTTTCTTAATCTCCTTTTCATATGGTTCATTGCTAGTATATAGAAATGCAAATACTTTTTATATGTTGATTTTACATCCTGAAACCTTGCTGTACACATTTATTAGTTCTAACAGTTTTTTAAATGTGTGGGATACTTAGGATTTTCTACCTATAAAATCATGTCACTTATGAACAGAGATAATTTTACGTCTTCCTTTCCGATTTGGATGTGTTTTGTTTCCTTTTTTTGCCTAACTGCTCTGAGGAGAACTTCTAGAACTATATCAAATAGGAGCAGTGAGGGAGGATACACTTGCATTTTTCCTGACCTTAGAGGGACAACTTTCGGTTTTTCACCACTGAGTGTGGTGATAGCTTTGGGTTTTTCATATATGGCTTTTATTATGTTGAAGGAATTTCCCTCTATTCCTAGTCTGTTGAGTGTGTTCTTTTTAATTATGAAAGAGTGTTGAATTTTGTTGAGTGCTTTTTCTGCATTAATTGAGATGATCCTGTCTTTTTCCCCTTGATTGACACTGATTATTTTGCATATGTTGAACCATCCTTGCATTCTAGAAATAAATCCTACTTTGTTATGGTGTGTAATCTTTATAATATGTTGTTGAATTTGGTTAGCTAGTATTTGGTGAGAATTTTGCATCAATTTTTATTAGGGATATTGGTCTGTATTTTTCTTTTTTCTAATATCTTTGTCTGATTTTGGTTTCAGGGTAATGTTAGCCTCATAAAGTAAGTTTGGAATTGCTCCCTCCTCTTTAATTTTTTGGAGAAGAGTTTAAGAAGGATTGGTGCTAATTCTTCTTTAAATGTTGGTAGAATTTTCCAGTAAAAACATCTGGACCTGGGCTTTTCTTTGTTGGAAGGTTTCCATTACTGATTCAAATTCCATACTAATTATATGTCTGTTCAGATTTTTTATATCTTCATATTCATTTGAATATCTGGCATGTACTTGAAAACCAGACAGAAAAATGTTTTTTATTGTCATTGACGCTGATATTGAATACCTTTCCATGTTGTAATCCACTAAGTGGACTTTTTAACTTTCTCGATCCCTAATAGTGAAGTTATGATGGTAACTCAGTCTCTCTAGATTAAATGTATTTCAGTTTCTTAAACCAAATGGAGTTCTCCACTTAACTGTAGTCTATGCTATATCATTTCCAATGTCAAATAGTTCTTCCTGAAACTGAGTACAAGAAAAAATAATTCACAGTATTAAGTAGTGCATGACTGTTCATACTGATAATGAGACTGGCTCTGGTCCCTCTTCTGGGCCTCTCTAGAGAAAATTCAGTCATCTATACGTCCCAACCCTCTCACCTGGTCACCGGGAGGTGGCAAGTTCTAACATCAATGGAACTGGATCCCCACCTGTATGTAGTTAGTGGAGTCCAAGAGGGCAGACATCTGCAATGCTAGTGACCTGGGTGCAGGGGAGACCTGGGCAGGTGGAGATGCCTTTAGTTGGTACTTTTGAGGAGTAAGAATTTAGCAAAATTACACAGGGAAATGAATACCTCCCTCTCTCAAAGTGTGCAGCTTTTTTCATGGGCTGTGAATAGCTGTTATTGAAAAAATATGTGGTGAAATACATGTTTGGGGAATTCTAGGTAAAATAAGGTACAAGAGGTTTCTTTACTTTGTTCTTTACTTCTCAGAGCTGCTGTATTTAATGTATATTGTTAACTATTTCAGAAGGAGACGTGCTATTTAGTGCTTCCCAAACTGTGTTGCTCATGGAATGACTTGCTTTTTTCCCTTGGAATATGTCATGGAGTGAGTGTTCCATGGAATGTACTTTGGGAAATGCTGACAAACCCAGCCTGGGAAGAGAATGGTAGTTAGAACTCACTACTACCTGTGCTCCACCAGGCATTTAACAAGTAGTCTGCCATGTAATCCTCATAGAAGGCTGGCAAGAGAGGTATTATTATTATTATTATTATTACTAATCTCATGTTATAGAGGAGGACACTGAGGCTTTGAGCAATCAGATGACCTGCCTGAGGTCAGATGTCCAGGTGTACCTGACTCCAAGCACCTTGTCTTTCCCAGCACCACTGGCTCTTTCTCTGATTCCTACAAAGGCCAAATTCAGGCTACTGAACTGAATAGACAAGTTGTTATAGAGTCATGGAGTTTTCATGGTGAGAAATAAAGTTTTTCTTCTTATTTTCTCATCTTATTAACCTTCATAGTGGCAGGTGCCATTTGAACGCCATGGTCTCTTAATAGTTGTGTGACTTGGGCCCCTTATTCTCTGAGTCCCAATGTCTTCACCATAAAATCCTGTGTTTTTATGCTTATATCCATAAGCATGAGGATCAGCATGTATCAGTAACAATAATGCAAAGATAAATGAGATAAATGTTGAGGAATTATGAAAAACAGCAATTGGCGCATAGCAGATGCTGAATAACTTTTGTTAACATGACATCAAAAACAGTGGTTTGATAACACCCTGACTTGTGTCGCCAATGCCGATACTGTTATTCAAACCTCTCAAAAAGGGAACCCCAGGCCAGGAACCCCTGACGGTCTAGGCAAGAAGAGTCACCGACATGCACAGCTGCAGGCGGGACCGGCTACATAATTTTTGGTGCCAGTACCAATTGAGAATGAGTGGCCTCTTGTCTAAAAGTTATTAAGAATTCCAAGACAGTCACAGCAAAGCGTCAAACCAAGCGTGGGCCTGTGTGAGCGTGGAGTCCTGTTGCAGCCCTGGCTGTAGCCTATGAAAAAGTCAGGGAAGCTGGAATCTCGGGCAAAGGAGAAGAAAAGAGACCTCAGCCTGGACAGAAAGACCTAGGCCAGCTCCCTGGAGGGCTCTTAAGGGAGACTTCAGCCCCTAAGCTGCTCGTGTTGGATTGGGGATTGGAGGGTGGAGAGGCTGACGTGAAGGTTTGTGGTAGGAAGTGAAAGCATTGCTGGCAGGAAGAAGTTCTGATGGCACAGGCTACTGAGCCCACGTGAGCACGAACTTGGGTGGTGGGAAGTCACGGCGCAGCCGCCGGCGGTTGCGTGGGTGTCGGAGACTCTGCGGCGGGTCACTTAGCCCTCAGGTCCGCTGCGCGGTGTTGCTAATTAAATCTCCCTGGGCTCGTTCCATTGTGAGATGGGAGGCCAGCATGGAGCAGGTTTTCCTTGGAGGGAAAGTGCTAAATATTAATGGAAATAAGGGCAGGGTTTGCCTAGTCCCCGCCCTTGTGGCTGGGTTTGCATGTGCCGTGATCTGGGCAAGCTCATTCCCTCCATGAACCGAAGCTTTCCTCCGAGATTCCTTTGAACATGATTTGCAAACTTCAGCCTCATGCGTGTCACAGCTTGCCTCCTTTTGTGCCCGTGAGTGTCTTTACCCCGACCTTCTTCCGTTCCGCATCTGCTCGGGAATGCACTTTTTCCAAATTGCTGCCTGCCTCCCTTTGGGAGGAAAAGGGTTTAATTGCACAGATTTTAGTTGTGGCCAAAGTCATAGTCACTGGACTCAAAGATCCTCATTTATATGTTTAATCACGGCTACCTTTCATAAAGGATAAAACCCTGGTTCATTGGTTCATAATTTGAGTAAAGAAAGAGAATATTTTCAGATTGTGGGGAAACTACTACAAGTGTCCATTAAAAAAATGTAACTGTGTTCTTTGAAGTAGGACTGAGACTGTCCAGCCAGAAAAGTGAGCAGCTCCGGCCCAGGGTGTTCTGTGTCCTGCCCACTGTAAGGGGACAGAGGTCTCCTCACATAGCTCTGTCCGCCTTTGTCCCTGTGTCATTTATTCCCTTCTCTCCCCTTCCTCTCTCTCTTTCCTTCCTTCCTTCCTTCCTTCCTTCCTTCCTTCCTTCCTTCCTTCCTTCCTTCCTTCCTTCCTTCCCTCCCTCTGTCATCTACATATGTGTGCATATATGTGTTAGTGTGTGTGCATATCTGTTTTGTCTGCCTATATATCAGTCAATCACCTACCTTCCCATTTATTTATCATTATCCATTTATCATTATCTATCCATTTATCATTATCTATCCATTTGCTGTTGGTTCAAAGAACAGATCAGATGCAAGCCCCCTCTGAAGTCTAGAAAGAATGTAGAAAGTGTGGGATTTTGAGTGATTTTGCAGAGTAAAAGAATGACTTCCCTTTGCCCTGTTTTCTCTTTAGGTTCCTATCTGGTGCTCATACAGACTCAAAATGAGGAGGCACCGACATGTGCCCTTAGTGGCCGTCTTCTGCCTCTTTCTCTCAGGCTTCTCCACGACTCACGCCCAGCAACAGCAAGCAGGTAAGACCCAGAAACATCCATGACTTTATAAAGAGAAGTAGCATTCTGCGATTTTAGGTCTCAGACATCATGAGCTTGACATAAAGCTTAGAGATGTTTTTCAGAGATAGCTAAGCCATTTATTATAGGATATTCATTTAGTTTAGACCTTTAAAAACACTCTTCACCCAGTGAGAGAGGACGTATTTTTGTTAAAGCTTTGGTTTGCTGTCTTGGAGTTGGTTTGAAAGGGATTTGTTTTGGCCTTGGGTGTGAGTAGGAAGTTTGGTTCCGAAGAGATTTCCCCACGTTTCTGGCATTGGTGGGTCCCCGAGCACATGCATTAGGGAGAGGACAACTATGGAGAGTAAAAGTCATTTTCCCTGGAAAAAAACAAATGTCATACACTCTTTATAACTCAGGACGGTGAAAGACATTTTCCCTGTAGCATCATTGGATCTTAAAAAAAAAAAAAATCTGTTTCCCAAAACTGTATTTAAAAATGGATTCTAAGGAACCCTATTAGGAATTTGCCTTCAGAGTTTTTAAGAAAGCGCGAAATGCTTCATGCACTGCAATCTGGGAAGGAAGGCCTGTCCTTTGCCTGGAGAGCCGGGCCTCCGGGGACTCTCCCGCCAGGCCAGGCTGCTCCTAGGTGGCGGGAAGGCTAGGGCCACCTCGGTGGAGGAAGAACGTGGGTTGGGGCGCCAGGTCAGCCCCAGGTAAGTGGGGTCCCGGAGCCAGAATGCCCCACGGCTGCAGAAGGCCACCTCCCGGGGCCACTGCTGGCCTGACACGCTTAGCACCTGCACCTGAAGGAGAACCGGATTCATCTGTGGACACCACAGATGGCACTCACGTTCTGTAGAGACTTCACTGGCTCTGAAAACATGCGGTAACTACTTATATAGGGTGCCTTTCTTCATGCTCAAACAGCTGGGGAGAAAAATGAGTCTTTTCCCTTCTCTGCACTCATACAGATCTCCCTCACTTACATTAACACATGTTTATTCCATTTATTTTTCTTGCAAATTGCGCAGAACATTGGGGGTTAGTTAGTGTGAAGCAGCAGTAGTCTTCACTTTTCCTTCTTGCCAACGCTCAGTTTCATGCCTCACATGGAAGAACCAATTCATAGAATGATGGCTGGTTGTCTGTGATAGGACATCCTTCTGGTCTGATCAGGTGGGTCTTGGGGCTCAGGGTGTCACAAGGAATCATGCTTGAGATGAAGACAGCCCAGGACAATGTTGTCCCGTTCTCGAGCGTGCTGCTGGGCCATACCCGGTGGGCCAGTGACTGGGACCAGCAGCTGCGGAGTCCGTGGGCCCAGGTCCCCGGTTCCAGGTAAGTCTGTCCACCTTCCTGCGGGACAAGCGAGGTGTGAACTGTTTAGTGACAGCGTAGTGTCAGTTGAGTGAGCGTAGGAAGGTTTTTCACTGATAGGAAGCCATTGCTTGAATAGCAGAAACATCTAAACCAATGTCTTCTTTTAAAGATGTCAAACATGGTGCCGCTGCTGATATAATATTTCTAGTGGATTCCTCTTGGAGCATTGGAAAGGAGCATTTCCAACTCGTCCGAGAGTTTCTGTATGATGTTATAAAATCTTTAGCTGTGGGAGAAAACGATTTCCACTTTGCCCTGGTCCAGTTCAACGGAAACCCAGATACCGAGTTCCTGTTGAATACGTATGGCACTAACCAAGAAGTCCTTTCCCATATTTCCAACATGTCCTATACTGGGGGCAGCAATGAGACCGGAAAAGGATTAGAGTACGTAATACACAGCCACCTCACTCGGGCCGCCGGAAGCCGGGCCGGCGACGGCGTCCCTCAGGTTATCGTAGTGCTAACCGATGGACACGCGGAGGAAGGCCTTGCTCTGCACTCAGCGGAGCTTAAGTCTGCTGCCGTGAACGTGTTTGCCATTGGCGTCGAGGACGCAGACGAAGGAGCCCTAAGAGAAATAGCAAGCGAGCCGCCCAATATGCATGTTTTCAACCTAGAGAATTTCACCTCACTCCATGACATAGTAGGAAACCTAGTGTCCCGTGTGCATTCATCCGTGAGCCCGCAAAGGGCTGGGGACACGGAAGCCCCTAAAGACCTCACAGGTAACGGCTACACCGCCAGGCTGCGCCCGCCCTGCTGCTCCTTGCAGACGAGCTGAGCTTGGCCGCCGCGGGCTCAGAGCGGCGCCGCGGCTGCGAGTGCGGGCGGGCGGGAGAGATGAGGCTTCGCGGGCTTAAAAACAAAGGTTCGAATCTGACTGTTCTTCACAGCCCACTCCTCAAACAGGGTGTGTACCTACGCCTACACCTACATCCAAGAGCAGTTTCTTTTTTTTAAAACAACTCATACTTTTGCTCTGAAAAAAAAAAAATGCACTCTGATATCCTGATCCCACAGAAACAGCTCTCTCCGCCCTTCCCGGCAGGGAAAGCCGCAGAGAGCTGCGGTGGGTGTGTGACGAGCCCCTCCCGCCTGCCAGCGGCAGCGCCAAGGGAAGCTCCATGTCAGAAAGGGCACGGGGCCGGGCGCGGCGGCTCACGCCTGTGATCCTAGCACTCTGGGAGGCCGAGGCGGGAGGATTGCTTGAGCTCAGGAGTTCGAGACCAGCCTGAGCAAGAGCGAGACCCTGTCTCTACTATAAATAGAAAGAAATTAGCCAAACAACTAAAAATAGAAAAAAAAAATCATCTGGGCATGGTGGCCCGTGCCTGTAGTCCAGCTACCCGGGAGGCTGAGACTGAGGCCTGAGCCCAGGAGTTTGAGGTTGCTGTGAGCTAGGCTGATGCCACGGCATTCTAGCCCGGGCAACAGAACCAGACTCTGTCTCAAAATAAATAAATAAATAAATAAACAAACAAAAGAAAGTGCATGAGCTGAGGGGGACAGAGAGCGCCCACTTTTGTATCCAGTGGGATAGCAGAGAGCGCCTCTCCTCTGCTCCATGGAATTTATTTCAGAGAATTGGCAGAATTAGAATTGCAAGCAACCTTAGCTAAGGTCCAGTCCAAACCCATTTTAAAGAAGTTGAGTCCTGGATGGCAGGTGACAGAGCCAGCACTGGGGGCCTCCTGCCTTGGCCCTGGCTTTGGGCTTCGTACTCATCTCTGTGCCCACAGAGGCCCCTCTGATCCTCGTGGCCCCCATCCCCGCCGCTCCAGCAGCGTGGGCAGGTGTGGACATGACATTGGCACATTACTGTCACTGCACGGGGACCGGTCAGGCCCATCAGCTCTCCTTCCAGCGCTCAACGCCTAAAAGACTGATGCGGAAGGAATTTGGCCAGTGAAATTTCAAAAAGCATCTTTCCGCAGCAACTGTGATGAGAGCCAGAGCCAGGCTTACTCCTCAGCGACGGCAGGGCAGAGGGACTCCCTGCGTGAGAAAACCAGTCGGTGTGGCCTTTTGGTAGTTTTCGGCGGGGGGCTTGGGCCCACGGGGGGGGTTGCGGGGGGGGGTTGGGGGGGGGGGGGGCCCCGGAAGGGGGGGCCCGTTCTTTTGGGTTGGGGGAGGGGGGGGAGAGAGGGTGTTTTTGTGAGTCTAGGGGGTGTGGGGGGCGCTGTGAGAGTTCAGGCTGAGCTGGCACCATTCATCGCAGTCAGCGCAGGGAGCCGTAGGGTTTGGGAGCGTGGAGAGACTGGAGTTATTTTCTGAGCAGCGGCTACAGGGATGAGGCGAGCGAGTCACAGAACATTCAGGACTAGTTGCCGACTGGCAGAGACGGCCAGCTGTCAGAGATGACCGGCATCAGCAGGGTCCCTGCCTCTCTTGCAGGTGTCTCGGGCATTCCCGGGGTCAAGGAGTTTCCAGGTCTGGACCTCACGAGGAGGGAATGACCGAGGGGAAAGGAGAACATTCTCCCGGGGAGGCAATCCGGAGTGGTAGCTAGTCATTCCCGCCATGCAGTCCTGGCGGGGCGCCCGCTGGGGCTGGCGGGCTGGGCGACGCTGAGGAGCCCAGGGTGGCAGGCTGGGCAGATGGCAGGCTGGGCGGGATGAGCCCCGGATGCAGCTGAGCTTGGGGGTGGGGAGATGCTGGGGTGCACAAGGGGGACCCCCGAGGGCAGCCCGTGGGGCTGGAGGGTCTCAGCGTGGTCCTCACAAATACGGTGCTGCAGACAGAGGGGCCGCCGGGAGGAGACGCTGAGACCTGAGTGGCCGGCGCTCAGAAGGGTGTCCGCGTAGACGGTAAAGTCTCCGGAGCTGGCCACAGCGAGGGCCAGGGCTGAGCGTGACGCGAGGGAGGTGGGAGGCCCTCATCACCGTCCTGAGCTGCAACGAGGGAGTGGATAACTCCTGGAAGGACAAAGGAGTGGACGGGCAGCCAGGCCTGAGTCAGCGCACCTGGGCAGAGGGAGCGACTGCAGGGAGCAAGGTTTATGGGTGCGTGTCCCCTAAGCTCTTGGAAACAGTCGCCACCAAGAGCGCTGTGGCGACGGGGCGTCAGGTGACCGACAGAAAGTCAGTCTTATTAATTCGGTGCTGAAGGTGGGGGAGGGAGGAGGGCGAGCTGAGCTGAGCTGAGCTGAGCAAGCTGCAGGGCCCGAGGGAGGAAGCAAAGGAGGGGCAGGAGGCGGCAGTTGAAGGCAGAGCCCCGCAGTGCCAAGGCTTGACAGGCATTGCAGGGAACCAGTACTGGATGTCGGCTTCTCAAACGGGGACTCAGGAAGCAGGAGATGGGAGAGAGACGACTAGCCCTCAGCAGAAAGGAGCCAGCTGTCCCGGGCAGGCGGAGCTCGGTTAAGAGAAGGGTTTCAGAACCAGCCCACCCAGGGGGTTTCAGAAGTTGCTCGTGGGGACTCCCCAGTGGGTGCCCGTGACCTCGGCCAAGCCGGGGGTGGGCGTGCGAGGCCCTCGCCAGCGGGCCAGTTCTCAGGAGGAAGGAGGGAGAGGCAGTCTGGGTTGTTCACCTGTAACACTGAGAATGGGCTCCTGCTTCCAAATGGAAGTGCCTCGTCTTTGGCACCATGACAGAGACGTCAACCCTGCCAGGTTGCAGGACAACAGGTGGGTGGCCTTAGGAGCTCCCCAACCAGACATTCCAGGTTACAAGAAAAGGACAAGAGGGGACCTATGATGACCTGCTCTGTTCACCACAATAGGCCCAGTGTCAATAATTCACCGATCCATCACATTTTTGAATATAGGGAGAATAGCAGACATGTTGAAAAACAGTGCAAGGGATCAGTGGAGAGAGGGGACACCTTTTTATTGATGTTTGGGCAAATCCATGAAAAAGCCCAGATGAATTCTGCCTTTATATTTAGCCATTGCATCAATGGACGAACAATGAGATTACCATGGTGAATGCCAAGTGAGCCCATCACATAGTATATTTCCACACGGATGAGAAAACCTTTGTTTTTATGCCAAGAAAGCATCTCTGTCTTCTAGTGTCCAAGCCACTAGCAGCGCCAGGGTGGACTATTAATCCATTCATATTTCCTTTTCTAATTAACGTCACTCTGCAATTCCTCTGGTACCACTTCCTGCTGCATGTTCTACAGCACAAAAATAAAATAATAATAATAATAGTCTCCGCTTACAGTTTTTTGAAAAGGCAGCTAGAAGGGCATTATAGAGATTGCTAACGAGTTAGGGCCTTTCCTTCTCATGATGTAGGTTACTGGGTAACTTTTCCCCGTGGACTATTCTTGATTGTAAGACATATGTAGGAATGAGGGATCGCCACTGTTCTAATGAACTCTACTGAAGCGATCAATCTCGAATGGTTGTGTTTCAAACACCCCTTTGTCATCTTTTAAAAAGTGGATATAACTAAGACACAAAACCTTTGTTCTGATGCAAAAGCTAAGGGCAACGGTGAGGGCTTCAACGTGAGGTTCCTCTCGTTTTTTTCCGCAAAATAGGAAGACTTGAAAATTTTGTGAGACATATCTACGATTTTGTGTTTTGCCCAGGACATAAAGATTTGAACTTTTTTTTTTTTCCCCCTTAATGAAAGGAAGCATCACACAAGCAAGCTAAGAAGGGCTCCATGCCCGTGCCTGTGTGCTCAGGGAGATAGCATTTCCGGTGCTGTCGAAGGAACCTGTGATTTTTCCTTGGACGCTGTGAAACTTTTCCGTAGGAAATGCCACAGAGGATGTGGTGCATGAGCCGTAGGTGCAGAAAACCAGACGACTTCAGACATTTTCGGGTGTTAGATAGAGCCGGGGGTGGTAGCGGCAATATGGGCGGTCGGTACGCCTTGCTGCACGCAAGGGCTGGTGGCGCCCGTGCCCCTGCGAGGCTTGGCTCTCCCGGATAACACGGCATGCTCTCCTGTGTCCCGCGAGTGTGTGTGTGTGAGATGGGAATGTGTTTTACTCAGTGATGACAAACTATCCAACGTTTTTCTATGACTCGCTGCTGTAGACGTTCAGTCTTCTAGAAAGGTTCAAGGACCACCCCCCTCAAGGGCTCGTTTATCTTATTTACACTAATACAGATTTCAACCAAAAAGTCAATAATAAATGAAGAAGGAATAGTGTTATCCTCTGACTCGACTTAGGTATCTTTCAATTGACCATAGTTAATCCTCCCTTTAAATATCCTGATACGCTGAGTAAGTGGCAATCCTCCTGTGTCCCTGGGGGTCATTGGTTTAGGCCTGGGAAGTGCTGAGGAATTCCGTGGTGTGATTTGCAGGGCTTCTGCTCATACGATGACATGGGCCACTTCTGTGGCCGGCTGTGCAGTCCACACTCCCTGGCACCACACCCACCCAAGGTTCCTCCAAGACACTTACGCTTTGGCCAAACAGTGGCAAATGCTTTGGAGTTGCAAGCAAAGGCCCAGTCGTATTTGATACTTCTGTGCGACAATTATTTAAAACGCAAGATCTTAACTACTGCAGGAAGTAATTATACTCCTCATTATATCTTCTGAGAAGGATTGTGATAGCAATATTTCCAAATTAACATATTTCCCCATGCAAATAATTCGTCTGCAAAGATGTGGTCAGGGACTTTTGTGTCTAAGGGAGAAAGGAGCTCAGTTCCAGCGCCAGCAGTGTTTTGGTTGGCACAATGAGAGCGCTTCGGGAAGAATGTAATTCCGCTCCTGCAGAATCCTTCAATTTTATCAGACAAGCTTTGTAGCCTTTTCCACAGTGAGAGTAAAAACGATTTTTTCTGGCACAAGGAAAATTATTTTAAATATAAAATGCTCACTGTCATTAAAAAGATGAGAATGGTTGGTCTTACATATAATATTACATTTATACCCCAAGTGTAGCTTTTCTGGAATCCCAGATAGATATACAAGCTCAGGTAACAGCTCTTCCTGTTCCTAATACATACTTAAGTTGTTAAAAACATTTACCAGGGTAATTTTGCTTTTCTCTAGTTTAAATAAGTACAATATAAACATTTTAACTGAGCCTTTGAAATTCCCTGCCTCGGTATGATGACTTAGTGATCAGTACTCCTTGATATGGGCTTCCTGTAACCCCTGTTCTCAGTAATTACACGGAAGCTTCCGGTTCACCACGAGCCATTTTTATATCCTTAGTATAACTCCAGAGCTAAGGCTGAGTAGGGGCTTGTTAGATGTCCCTGGTCCTGCTAGGTAATTAGCTTAGGATGTCATAAAAATAAGGTTGGATAATTATGTCATGACTGTTTCATATCACCCTGTTTAACGTTGTTCTGCATTACGTGATTGGATACAGAGGCAATGGCAAAACACGTAGCCCTATCCCAGACCTGCATTTGCGTTTCATACAACGAAACGTGGTGCAAGGAAAGAAAATCAAACAAAAAATTCATCAAAATAATTTTAAAATGAAACCTTTAAATGTGGTTTGAGTTTGATTTGCAAAGTTGCATGTAGTTGGCTATATTTTGGTTTTCAAAGAAAAGAAGAAGAAATGAGGACAGCTCCAGGAATCAAGTGACATACGTGGCTGATGGGTCCCCAAAGTGTGAATCTGAGACTCTGCTTTGTAGTTGTGGATTTGTGCAAAAAAAATTCTTACGGTCGTTTGAGGAGGCAGGAGAAGTCACCAAACATTGGAAATCATCTTTGAACTTTTGTTAGTCTAGTCATTATATTCTCCAACTACATTTCCCTCCAAATTTGGTAGAAATTTCTCGCCTATGTACCCAAGATTTCTTCCTCAGAAAAGTGAACTTGATATTTTGCAATTTAACTACAAAAACGGCGCAAATGAAAAAAATCGCCGTAAATGCTGCTACGTCCGTTGCCCGGTGATTTCTAAGACGTTGCCTCGTATCCATTCAGAATGCAGAACTAAAAGAGAATTTCACCTTCCTTAATCAACATGTGTTTCATTTGTCCGTATTTCGTGTTTCTTATTGGTTTCCAAAGAAACATGTCATGACACTGAATAATGCATGTGTTCACTTGTTCTAATGCTTTCACGTTTTTTGCATTTCTTTCTTTTAAAGCACAAGACTCTGCTGACATTATTTTCCTTATTGATGGATCAGACAACACCGGAAGCGCCCATTTCGCAGTCATTCGCGACTTCCTTGTAGATCTCCTTGAGAGACTGTCAATCGGAGCGCAGCAGATCCGAGTGGGGGTGGTCCAGTATAGCGCTGCGCCCAGAACCATGTTCTCCTTGGACAGCTACTCCACCAAGGCGCAGGTTCTAGACGCAGTGAAGGCCCTCGGGTTTGCTGGCGGGGAGTTGGCCAACATCGGCCTGGCCCTTGACTTTGTGGTGGAGAACCACTTCACCCAGGCGGGGGGCAGCCGAGCAGAGGAAGGGGTTCCCCAGGTGCTGGTCCTCATAAGTGCCGGGCCTTCTAGTGACGAGATCCGAGACGGGGTGGTGGCGCTGAAGCAGGCTGGCGTGTTCTCGTTCAGCCTGGGCGCCCAGGCCGCCTCCAGGGCAGAGCTTCAGTACATAGCTACCGATGACAACTTGGTGTTTACGGTCCCGGAATTCCGTAGCTTTGGGGACCTCCAGGAGCAATTACTGCCGTTCATTGTTGGCGTGGCCCAAAGGCACATTGTCTTGCAACCGCCAACCATTGTGACACAAGGTATGTATGCTCTTCTCGCCATCGGTATGGGAGCGGGGTGTTTGTGTCTTGGTGGTTTTCCTAGGAGTGGGGTGGGCACCAGAGTGACCCGCCTCGGGAGAACCTGTAAGTACCTGCAGCCCAGTCCTCCCCCGAGAAGCCAGCTCCTGGGGGTGATGTTCGTGCTTGCTGCAGTGTTTGCAAAAGCCGAAGATCGATGGGTGGATGGAAAGCTCTGGTTGAAGTGTGAGTTGTTGAGAAAGTGTGCTTTTAAAGCTAGCTCAACAAACCGCTGCTTACAGATTATTCAACATCCATGTTATTTATAATCCAGTCATCTTAAAAATGGATTTGAGGGGCTCAGTGCAATTCTGAGAAAACTACCCCAGGGCGATGCATTGGCCCCTAAAAGTCAGCATGAGCTGACGTGTGTTTTCCAAAAAGCAACGGAGGGGCGAGGGTGTCTCCTCAAAGTCCTTTCGTGCTGGGGCACTGAGAGTTACACTTCTGAAGGTAAGAAATAACAGGGCACTCACTTGATGGAATAGTTGTAAAAAAATTTTTTTTGCCCGTGTTTGTCGAGTTTAGGAGTAATTCTTCTGAGTGGCCAGATTAGGATATATACTCCGATGGAAGGCCTTTGGTAAATAGCCAATTGGAATAATTAAAAAAACAGGAAACAACCCACCAACAAACATGTACTTAAGAGACATGGCAGGCATTCAAACGCCGGGTTCCTTCAGCTGATGAGCTGTTTTCAGAGACGTCAGCCACTTTCCGACTGTCTCAGTTTCGAGACCTAGGTCAAGCCAGTAGGATGTCACTCAGTAAACTGGGGACACTGGGGCCCCCAACAGTTTCCAGAAGCACCCGATTCACTTCCCGGCGTTGTGTACGCCCTGGGGTGCTCTGAGAAGAAGAAGTCCTTGGATATGAGACCTTGCTCTTCGCTGACCTCCAGCGTGTGAGCTCAGTGGGGATTGGAGCAGGAACACTGAGGCTCACGTAGACCCTGGTTATCACCTGCAACCAATCATTTTACGTTTTCTTGGGGGAAATAACGTATCTTCACAGCTCTTGCTTGCTGACTTTATAAGGGAAGGCTGCATGTCTGGGTCTATAAAATAAACAATGTGATAAAATACTGCTTTACTCATTGTACCAGCTGGGGCTCCAGGTAGGTTGAGAAAGGAGTGACAGTCATTGACAAATAAACCTTTTGGGGTCATATGCCATTGCATGAAACTAAGAGCAGAGCATTTGAAGTTCTTAATTAAAAACACTGACATCTACTCCTGTGCGGGACTGGCCTCCACCTCATAGCGCTCTGCTGGTCATTGGTTCCAGGGTCGCAAACGTGTGAAGGTGACGTCGCCACACTGCCTTATGAGGCTTACAACATTCAAACCGAGGGAGCTCAAACTTGCTCCAGATGATTTTAGAACGGGGCTTTTGCTGTAATGAAAATGGTAGGCAGAAAGCTCAGGGCTGGGACATCTTTACAGAATCTGGACATTGGAAGGGTGACCTGGTGACGTGGTGAGAAGAGTGTGAATGTCACTTTCTGGAGAATACTCTTTCTAGCATATTCCGAGGTCAGAAAGGCCGATCCAGTGGGGCTTGCGTTTCTGCTCACACAGTTTTCCAGCTTTCCCTCTCACTTGGCGGGACCAGGGAGCAGACCAAAGTCCTTCTGGTGAGCTAACAGGGAGGCCAGACCGTCGAGCGGAATTTCCGAGCGGAAGTGGACAGTGAGCTGGGGAACACAGTGCCCAGCGCTGTGAATGCTCGTGTCCATTGTGGGGCTGCTGTGGCCCTGGCAGCCAGGGAAGCAAGTGAAAATCTGCAGCCTACTGAGGTTTCCCTGGGCGTGCATACTTGTGGAAGCGAACCATTTCCTGTGTTTTATAAACACCACAGCTGCAGACGGGAAACCTGGTCTTCCATCCCGGGTCTTATGTGGACCCCACTGTGTGATGCCAGGAGAGTCGTGCAACCTCTCTGGGCCCTGATTTCTGGAATTTATGGTGAAGGAGTTGTACTAGATGAAGAAACGTCTGTTCTAGGAGGAGTTTCAGCTGTTTAATGAAAATGGGCAGCACATTGCTGTCATTTCAGATTTCCCCCAGCTAACTACAGTTCTACCTCCCTGATTACAGACGTCATCTTTAATATTCGCGGTTAGCTTGTTTTCAACAACTATGCTCGACTGTCCGGTGTGTGCCCGGCACGGTGCCAAGCGCTGGGGACGCAGCGCTGGCGGGCGAGACAGGCGTGGCTTCTGGTCTGCCGCAGGGCCGAGGGAGAGATAGTAAAAATGTAAACTGATGACAGACTTCCTGTCTGCAAGTGCTACACGAGGGCACTAACCGGGCTGTGATAGGATGAATGGGGGCCGGGTGTGGGGTGTGTGGCTGTCGTCCCAGCTACTTAATAGACCAAGTAAGGTGGGGGGGGGGTCCCTTGAGCCCAGGAGTTCGAGGCCGCAGTGAGCCATGATGGCGTCACTGCACCCAGCCAGGCGACAGAGCGAGAGCCGCTCAAAACAACAACAACAACAACAAAAAAGGAGACAAAAGAAATCGAAGGTGGGAAGTGAACTTCAGGTGGGGTGGCCAGGGAAGGGCCGTCTGAGCAGCGGTGGGGACGGGAGGAGCCCGTTAACAGCAGGGACAAGCGTTCCAGGCAGAGGGAACAGCGGGAGGGCAGCCCTGCAACCCGGAGGCGCTCCGCTGCGCTTGGCCCTTTCCCAGATCCGCAGACGGCGGAGGTGGGAGCACGGGGCTGGGGGAGCCCGGGGAAGCCGCTGGCGCAGGGCGGGAGTCAGCAGCTCTACCGTGGGCGTGTTAAGTTTAGGGGCGCACCTGGCATTCGGATGCCAGCACGTCTGTCTTCCGAGCAGAGGTCTGAGAGCGATGCGTGCAGGGGCAGGCGGCAGGAGAAGGGACGGCCTGGGGCCAGCGGGGCGAGGGCAGGGACGCCCTGGGAGGGAGAACGAGGAGGAGCCACCAGGGATGGGGGACATGAGGGTGTGGGGATGGCTGGGAGTCAAGAGAGAGTGTCCGGGATGGGAAGGCTGGGAAGCCGAGGAGGCAGCTGTAGAATGGCCACCGTGGGGCCACCGGCGCCTCTGGCAGGCGAGCGATGGCGGGGACAGGGGAGAAGGGACGGCAGGCTGGGAGAGGACAGGTGAGCGAGGCAGACGGCAGGTGCGGGCAGGCAGTGGTGTGGGTGGTCAGAGCAGAGGGTTCTCCTCCGACGGCCTCTGTTTTCTCAGAGACGTAGCGGGTGAGCCCTGGCGTGGCGGGGGGGGAGGCCAGGCAGAGAGCAGAGTCATGGGACGGTCGTTCTGGAAAATGGGAAGCAAACTTCCCAGGGAGGCGTCGCAGGGCAGGCTGGGCTGGGGGTTCCCAGCGTGGCGTGCAGGTGTCCCGGTCTGGGGTCTTCTGGGGGACACCATTTGTGTGGGTGACGCAGGAGATGAGAGAGGAGCAGATGGAGGCTTCCTCAGGAGAGTCCGAGGGAGGCCAGGGAGGAGGGCGCCGAGGGCTTCCCGTGAGCGAGGCTGTGAGGAAGGGCCGCGGCCCTGGGGAAGGGACCGGGACGGGCTCGACCGAGAGTGAGGAAGGGGCAGGGGGAGGAAACACTGACGGCCCGGGACGTGGCCCCCAGAGGAGGCAGCCGTGAGCATCACGGGGTTTTTGTAGCTGGATTTGAGCAATTCCTGGGTGCAGCCCCTACACCTTACAGATGGGGAGACAGAAGCCCCGAGAAATTACACGAGTCTGCAAAGAAAGGTCAGGCAACAAGTGCCAGAACCAGGACGTAGAGGCAGGAATTTAATTATCATTTGGGCCATTCGGTTATTTCAGTGCTTATTTTACTTGGCTAAGTGTGGTTCTAGGTGTGTGTATCACCTGTTAGGAGTTCTCAGGACTTTAGACAAACATCAAAGTGACCTCTTCCCTAGTCAAAGGGGACCGTGGCGTGGAACGGCCGAGATTCCCAGAGCCGATTCCGTGTTCCACCGGATCGGGACGTCAGCCCTGGTCTCTGGGCCACTGGCTGAATTTATAGTGACGCAGTGGCAGGGGACGTTAGGATTTGGGAGGGCTAAGTGTGGCATTGACCTCCTCCTGCCCCACATGCTGTGCCACTGCCAGGGCTCACACAGAGTGACATGAGCGTCCGGGCCACTTGGGGCGGGGCAAGGAGCAGGGTGGATGCCTGGCGTGGTCAGCGCGTGTAGAATGCACGCACTGTGTGCGTGTGTGTGCGTGTGCGCATTCTCTCTGATAGTGGAAGGGCGTGAGAGATCTGCTGGACACCTACACAGTCAGGTTCATCTGCAAAGACATTTTAAACCTAAATCGAAGGGGTAGCCCAGAGAGACACGAGTTCTAAATCAAAGGAGGGAAGGAAAGCCCAGAAAGGACGTTCATAACAATGACCACGAGATATCGAGAAAAGGTAAAACGATGCTCTGCATACACTGCGAGGCCAGTAGGGAGCTGCGCAACTGTATTAGAGATGTTAGTGCACCGAGTGTCATCTTCCTGCTAGAACGTAGACCTCCTCTTGGTGCTGCTGCAGGTATGTGAGTGAGGTGTTGCTGCCCTAACGTGAATTTTTAAGGCATGTGCCAGTGATTCTGACACCGGGCGTCATATTCCCAGCCTCCTGTCCAGACAGCTAGGAATAAGCTATATCTTAAAGATTTGTTGCAGGAGGTAGCTCTAATCTCTGGGAAGTTCTTCCTCACCTCTGTTCCAAGCCTCGTTCCTCTGTCCAGCGTTACAAACACTCTTTCTGACGGCACAGAGTAACAGAGGACCCCTTTGCAAACAGTCCTCTCTCAGGCTGATCATTTATGCTCTTATAAGCCTTGGGGCTCCGTCAGGCTTCTGGGCGAGGCACTGTGCTCTGGTGGGGCTCACTGCTCTTGGGTGGGAGACTCGGGTGGGGCTGCCTGCCCACCCGTCCAGCCGCGGCTCGCCGTCACTCGGAGACAGTGGTCTTGGGGAGGCGTTTGTGCTTTGTGGTTCTCGGTTAAGCTGTGACAGTCTCCACATGTTACTTAGGACCTCACAGCACAGGTCTCTTACGTGAAGAAAGTCTGTGGCACTTGCTGGCTTTGCTGCTGATTTCCTCTACCTAAGTTTTATGTTAAGTAATTTATTTTTGCCTGGAAGATGGAGACAGAGCTGGACAGAACGGGGATGCGTGTGCTCTTTCAGATCTTGCACTTGGCAATGCCCATTGCTGAAATCAAGGCTGAGAAGCGAAGGGCTCGCTGGGCAGATACTGTGTATTTTTTCCTCACTCGAGTGACGGCTTCATTCTGGCCAAGTTAGATATTTACGGCGGGAAAGAACTTACTGAGGTCCTGGTGACAGCACGCTAACTGGGTGGCTGCTGACATTAGATTGGGATTGTGTGTGGCTTATTTTGTAAAAAGTTCGAAGAGTAGGCAGGGTAGGAGGGGGGCCAACCTATCTGCAGCGGGGAGGGCGCAACTGTAACTAACGTGTGTGTTGCGACAAATTCCTCTTGGGGCGCCCCTGATGTCACATGGGCCCGAGCAAACGAGAGCATCCTTTGAATAGCGTTAGCTTTGTTAGAGAGTCATTGCTGAATGAGGTCGGTGAGGGCCCCTACTCACCTTGTCATGTCGCCACCTGCAGTTATCGAAGTGAACAAGCGAGACATAGTCTTCCTGGTGGACGGCACCTCTGCTCTGGGACTGGCCAACTTCAACGCCATCCGAGAGTTCATTGCCAAGGTCATCCAGCGGCTGGAGATCGGACGGGACCTTATCCAAGTGGCGGTGGCGCAGTACGCAGACACCGTGAGGCCCGAGTTCTATTTCAATAGCTACCCGAGCAAGCGGGAAGTCATAACCGCCGTGCGGGGAATGAAGCCGCTGGACGGCGCGGCCCTGCACACGGGCGCCGCTCTGGACTTCGTGCGCAGCAGCCTGTTCACGGACTCCGCCGGCTACCGGGCTGACGAGGGGGTCCCCAGGCTCTTGGTGCTGCTCACGGGCGGTAAGTCCCTGGACGAGGTCAGCAAGCCCGCCCAGGAGCTGAAGAGGAGCAACATCATGTCCTTCGCCGTGGGGAGCAAGGCTGCAGACCGGGCCGAGCTGGAGGAGATCGCTTTCGACTCCTCCCTGGTGTTCGTCCCCGCCGAGTTCCGCGCCGCCCCGCTGCAAGGCATCCTGCCCGGCCTGCTGGCGCCCCTCAGGACCCTCTCCGGAACCACGGAAGGTACGGTGGCCGTGGCTTCAGACGCGGGCTGGGGAGTCTCCAGGGAAGAGCCCTCGGAGAGAAGCGCAAAATGAAATGTTATTTGTGTTTAGCTAAGACACAGTTTTTTTTTTTTTTGTAGGTGAAGTAGGTCTTTTTTCTTTTTTGTATATTTATTTTAGCGTATTATGGGTGTACAAGTGTAAAGGTTACATATATTGCCCTCCCCCCAAGAGCTTCAAGCGTTAAGACACAGTCGTTAAACGATGAAACGACAGCAACAGACAGGATTCATTTCAGGTTTCTGTTTGCCCTGGGTTGAGAATTGCACGGTTCAAAATGTCATTAAGATAAAACTTCATATGATAAGAGTCGTACAGCTTAAACCAGAGGACCATGCGGCACCTGTCTTTGAGGCCTCTGGCCGAGAAGGTCAGCTCTCGGTTGCTGTTCCCGGCCGGGTCCCGTCCTGCTCTGTTCCCACTGGTGATGCAGCGGCCTCCTTGTCACGGAGGTGGCCTGGCTCCTTCCCGTCCCGAGCTGGCGGTCCACTCACCAGCCCCAGCCGCCCCATCAGGGCACAGTTCCTCTCGCTTTGAACCCCTGTCTCCTCTCCCGGAGGGATTCCCCCTCGATGGGAAAGTACATTGAATGGCTGGGTGTGGAGACCAAAGCCAGTGGATCTCAAGATCCCTCGTTTAATATGATAGTTGTCAGTGGAAAGCTATCTTTCAAGACATCATAAAGGTCTACGAGCTTATGAGCTGAGTAAATACAATCTGCCATCCTTAACCAAGAGAAGATGCATATCACGAGTCCAGCTTTCCCCCCATGCACACCTGGCCAGCGCACGGCTGCTCACGCCTGTCCCGTGTCGCATGGATACTTGCTTTTTCATCCCACTCTCTGGTCTTCTAGAAACCTCTCTCTCTCTCTCTTTAAAATTTCCAACAAACTTTTAATCCACACTTTTATAGCCAAAGTTCAGCGTGATAAACATGAGATCAGTGGTGAGGTCTGAGCTACAGCGAGGCGTCAGAGAGAAATGAGAAGTGAATTATTAAAGGCACATGCTAAATGTGTTGGGGGGAAATACTCCAATTTGAGAACTATACTTTTTGTTCTTCACGTGTATAACTTTGGCCAAGCCTAGCAAATAGTCTCTTTGTATTTCACCGAGCACCCACGGTCCCATCCTCTCCCTTTGGGGGACCCCCCGGGCACCCCATCGGATGCTTGCCCGGTGAGGTGGGGCTCCCTGAGAGGGGAAGGGTACCAGTAGAGAACGATGGATGGACCATCTGAGGAAGACTTCAAAATGAGAACAGCCTACTGTGTTATTTTTTTGTAGCCGTAGGGAACTCACATTCTCAGTTTAGCATGGGCTGAATTCTCCTAAGCCTCCTGTTAGTGCGGAGGGGTGGGCCCCAGAAAACACAGCTGTGTGCCTGCGAGCCTGGCCGTGGCTCTGGTCACAAGGATGGGCCATGCAGGAAGGCAGGGCAGCCATGCAGAACTCATTTCCAGGGAAGGAATATTCTATTTCAAGGATTCTGATAGTTTTTGTTGGTTGCAAACATGCTAGCTTTGGTGCTCTATCTCTCTGTGAGCCAACCCGGTTTTGTAAGCTTGGCTATCTGTCCGCCTCGCAAGCACCAGCCGCCACCGGAGGAAAACATGCAGCCACCTGCCGTATTTTGTGAGATGGAAGTGCTTCGCCACGCTGACTTTCTCTGTGTCCTACGTGTTTGGCATGTGTGCCGCGGTTGTCGGCACACATGATAAAAACCCTCCGCGGTTGCGTGTGTCTCACTTTGTTTTCTGTGCTTCACTGCAGTTCACGTAAACAAAAGGGATATCATCTTTCTTTTGGATGGATCGGCCAACGTTGGAAAAACCAATTTCCCTTACGTGCGTGACTTTGTCATGAACCTAGTTAACAGCCTCGATGTTGGGAATGACAACATTCGCGTTGGCTTAGTGCAATTTAGTGACACTCCGGTGACGGAGTTCTCTCTAAACACATACCAGGCCAAGTCAGATTTGCTCGCCCACCTGAGGCAGTTGCAGCTCCAGGGCGGTTCGGGCCTGAACACTGGCTCGGCCCTGAGCTACGTGCATGCCAACCACTTCTCCGAGGCGGGCGGCAGCAGGATCCGCGAACACGTGCCGCAGCTGCTGCTCCTGCTCACGGCCGGGCGGTCCGAGGACTCCTATTTGCAAGCCGCCAACGCCCTGGCGCGCGCGGGCGTGCTGACCTTTTGCGTGGGCGCTAGCCAGGCGAACCGGGCGGAGCTGGAGCAGATCGCTTTTAACCCGAGCCTGGTGTACCTCATGGACGACTTCAGCTCCCTGCCCGCTCTGCCTCAGCAGCTGATTCAGCCCCTAACCACGTATGTTAGCGGGGGTGTGGAGGAAGTCCCCCTCGCCCAGCCAGGTAAACCTCCCCCACCGTGCGGGCGTTCTCCCTTTCCCTCCCCAGACGCCTCCCCGGCGGGAACTTGGCCAATCCGGACTCGAGAGCGTCTCGAGCTGTAGAAAGACACGCTGGCTCACTGTCGTTGAAACAGGGTGCATGGGGGGGGGTCTGAGACACTGTACCAGCAAGTGCAGGCTCTCTGTCTAAAGGGTGCTCGTCGATCAACGTCTAGAACATTCCACGTATGTTCTGTCCACCCTTTAGTCAGAAGCTTTCTTCCTCCCCAATTCCCATGACGACTCTGCAGTGCCAATCCAAAGGCTGCGTCTTAATTGACGGCGAAATGCAAAGTTCCAAAGCAAGTCTCGGTTATCATTATTCTTGCAAATCGTTACGGTGGCGAGAGCTGGGTGTATGAGATCCGCCAGCTCGCAGCGTCACGCAGATGGTGGTGGGACTAAACCGACTGAAACCTAATCAAGATAGTTCTAAGAAATGTCTGCACTGAAGATAGTATTTGCATTACATGGTGTAGCCCCACTCAGGCTGTCACCCGAGTTTTCTGTGGTCCGGCGACAGTGGTTTGGAGAACACTGGCCCGCCGTGCAGCAATGACGGGCGCTATTTCGGGTCTTGATCCATAACCTCGAATTTCACGAAAAGATAATCTTCAGTTAGAGCAGACCTGTGGCAGCCTGGTTATCCTTGGGTTGTTAACCCCCATCAGCCATTGTCCCTCGAGACTGAGATTAGCTTTTTAGCAGGAGTTCGATAAGAACCACGTTTCCCGTAGCTTTATCTACAGCAGTTTGGCAGTGCTGTCTGCTCCCCTGGAGTGACTGCCACCTGACGAGAGCACGGGGCCCGAGGGGACTCCGTAGGTGACTTGCTCTGCTTGGGAAGCACGGCGCTAGCCTGGATATGCACACAGAGCAGTTCTACGCTTTTGCAAATGCCCACTGTTTTGAAACGGGACACTTCCACGACGAGTTTGCGCGGGTTTTCTGGTCCCTTGCTGGTACGGTGACCGTCGGATGCGACTGTGAGTCCCACCGTCGTACGGCGCTGGGCTGGAGTCAGTCTGGTGTCTGTCCCGCTCCCGTCTCTCACTGTGTCCTCACCCGCTTTCATTGCAGAGAGCAAGCGGGACATTCTGTTCCTTTTCGATGGCTCGGCCAACCTCCTGCGCCAGTTCCCCGTGGTCCGAGACTTTCTCTACAGGATCGTGGAGGAGCTGGACGTGAGGCCGGACGGGACCCGCGTGGCCGTGGCCCAGTACAGCGACGACGTCCGGGTGGAGTCCCGCTTCGACGAGCACCAGAGCAAGCCCGAGATCCTGAACCTGGTGAAGAGGATGAAGATCAAGACGGGCAAGGCCCTCAACCTGGGCTACGCCCTGGACTACGCGCAGAGGCACATCTTTGTGAAGTCCGCGGGCAGCCGCATCGAGGACGGGGTGCTCCAGCTGCTGGTGCTGCTGGTGGCGGGGAAGTCGTCCGACCGCGTGGAGGAGCCAGCCAGCAACCTGAAGCAGAGCAGGGTGGTGCCTTTCATCTTCCAAGCCCGGAACGCGGACCCCGCCGAGCTGGAGCAGATCGCGCTCTCCCCGGCCTTCATCCTGGCCGCGGAGTCGCTCCCCAAGATCGGAGACCTTCAGCCACAGTTCGTGAATCTCCTGAAATCGGTGCACAACGGGGCGCCAGGGCCAGGTAGGCCGTGGAAATGCCGGTTGCTTCTGCGGCCGGGTCCTCCGGCGCATGAGCGGGGTGGGCTGCTGGTCTCTGGTCCTCAGATAGAAACCCTCTTCGGGTTCCCAGGGAGGGTGGAAAATTAATGGGTGGCTTCAGAAGAACAGTAGAATGTGAGTTTTCTTCCCTCGCTTTGACTCTCTAGCTGCTCTCTAGGGCAAAACGGGAGAATCAGGGTGATTATTTTTTAAAGGCATTAGATTATTTCATATTAAGGCACATTATAAGGATTTAGAAATCATCATTATAAGGATTTTAAAATCCTTTGTAAAAAGCACCGTTTTTACTGCATGTGTAATACAAGCCATGCAACTTGGTTACGTTACAGATACAGCCCTCTTCATCTGCTCAGTCCCCAGCAGCTTTATTTTAAGTGTGTATCACAGTGTTAAAATCCCTTCACTACATTCATTAAAAATTAAAGGCATCAGAGGAGGCAGATAAGTCCCCATCGTAGATGCTGCACTGAAATTCCCAACGGCTGGTCTGTACTACTGTGACTTGTGTTTGACCACTTGTCATTTGGTGGGACAAATGCAGGGAACAGAGCAATTAATTCCACATATGCTCCCTCTGCCTAAAAGCCGAGGCTCCAGAGTCTACACTGACGCCTGGGACCTTTCACTGTTGGCTTTGGGTGGTAACTCGGACATCCCGGTCACGGTTCCCTCCTCAGCTCCACTTGTGACTTGCAGCAAATCCTCCACGCCTCCCCTCTGAAAAATGCTAACGGTTGCACAGGCTTGGCCGTCCTGTGTCTCTCCTCCCCACCCCAGTTTTTTTCTTCAGTACATGTTTGAGAGCAAACAGTACCCTTTAAGCACTGAGGAGTTCTAAAATAAAAGGGCTCTATGTATTGGTGTATTAGTTTCCTGTTCCTGCTGTAACAAATGACCGCAGATTCAGTGCTGAAAGACAACAACAAAAAATTATCATCTGACAGTTTTGGGGGCCGGAAATTGGAAACCGGTCTCACTGGGCTAACGTCCAGGTGCCAGAGGCGTTTGTTGCTTGCCCAGGGGGTCACCCCTCCCCTGTCCCTCCAGCCCCCAGAGGCGCCTGCATTCCTTGGCCCGCGGCCCCTCCTTCCGTCCCCGATGCCACCTTGCCCACTGCTCCCCGACATCCTGACGGCTTCTCTCCCCAGCTCTGGCTCTGTTGTCCTCCTTAGAAGGACGCTCGTGATTGGTGGCATGGGGTCACCTGGGCGGTCCCCGAGTCCTCAGCTCTGTCACCTCTGCCAAGCCCTTCTCTGCAGTTCGGGGATTTGGAAGTGGGTGTCCTTGGGGGGCTGCCATGCAGCCCGCCACGCTGACTAGACGCGTGGCTCTCCTGTCCCGTGTGGGTCATGGCGCTGTCCCCCTCCCAGTTTCAGATGAAAAGGACGTGGTGTTTCTGATCGACGGCTCGGACGGCGTGAGCAGCGGCTTCCCCCTGCTGAAGGAGTTCGTGCAGAGGGTGGTGGAGAGCCTGGACGTGGGCCCCGACCGGGTGCGCGTGGCCGTGGTGCAGTACAGCGACCGCACCCGGCCCGAGTTCTACCTGAACTCCTACATGGACCAGCAGGGCGTGGTCAGCGCCGTCCGCAGGATGGACCTCCTGGGCGGGCCGACGCCCAACACGGGGGCCGCGCTGGACTTTGTCCTGAGGAACATCCTGGTGGGCTCTGCGGGCAGCAGGATGGCGGAGGGCGTGCCCCAGCTGCTGCTCGTGCTCACGGCCGACCGGTCCGCGGACGACGTGAGGGGCCCCTCGGGGGCGGTGAAGCGGGGCGGGGCCGTGCCCATCGGCATCGGCATCGGCAACGCCGACATCGCCGAGATGCAGACCATCTCCTACGTCCCCGACTTCGCCGTGGCCATCCCCACCTTCCGCCAGCTGGGCACCGTGCAGCAGGTCGTCTCTGAGCGGGTGGCCCGGCTCTCCCGCGAGGAGCTGAGCAGGATGCAGCCCGTCTTCCCGGCTCCAACCAGCCCAGGTGAGGGGGCGTCTTGGGATCTGTCCCTTGTCATCATCCCGGCCACTTGTTGGGACTGCGGGCCACCAACCACTTTCCGTCTGGCTTCCAGTGCCATGCGGGGTGAAAACCAGAGTTACACAAAGTCTTTAGGCGCCCCGTGGCTTTTTAGGCCTAGATGGGCAGAAAGGGCAGAGGTTTGGGGTGGGAGGCTGCAGAGAGGCGTGTTTCTGGACAGATTAAACTCTCCTCCAGCAGCATACACTGGGCTTAGCGTTCCGACCCCCTGACTCTGCACAGAGGCTCTGTCTAGATATTCTCAAGGAGGGGCCCTACCTGGTGGCCCCCTGTCCACCCGCTCCTGAGCTGCCCGGCAGCTTTCGCCAGCAGCCCCCCCCCCCTGGGAGGGAGTCTGCCCCCAGGCGCCCTGCAAGCTGGGGCTCGCCTCTGGGATGCTGCTGTCTCCAGAGCCACGGCGGGAAGATGACTCTTGCATTTGCTCCGTGCTGAGAAGTGAGTGTCTTAAGTGGCAGGAAGGTATCGGCTCTGCCGACCGTGGTTCGTTCTGTTTCCCCTTCCCGCGCCCCCTTTCGAGGCCTGGACAATAGCCTGGAGAACTCAGGGGTCCCGGCCACGGAGCGGGAAGGAGGCTGAGATGTGTCTGCCCCTCGGCAGATGCCTCCAGGGGCTGCTCTCTCCGCACTTGGTCAGTCCATCACTCTGTGAAGGAGGCGGGTGTGGCCGTGCTCCCCGTGCCTCCTGGTGCAGGAGCAGGGGAGGAACAGCCGCGGCAGGACACCGTGTCCCTCGGGCAGCCAGGGCGGTGAGGGGACTGGCCAGGTGCTGCCCAGAGGGGTTTCTCCCTGGGGTGTGCTGGGCAGACAGCGGTGTAGACAGCAGGGTAGATAGCGGCCTAGACAGCAGCACGCCCCATGAGGCCACACAGGATGCTCGATAAATTTAGGATAAATAAAGTTTTGTTTTTTTTTTTCTTGAGACAGAATCTCGCTTTGTTGCCCAGGCTAGAGTGAGTGCCGTGGTGTCAGCCTAGCTCACAGCAACCTCAAATTCCTGGGCTCAAGCGATCCTGTGCCTAGCCTCCTGAGTAGCTGGGACACAGGCATGCCCCACCATGCCAGCATTTTTCTATATATTTTTAGTTGTCCCTAATCTTTTCTATTTTAGTAGAGACGGGGTCTCGCTCTTGCTCAGCTGGTTTCGAACTCCTGACCTCGAGCAATCCACCCGCCTCGGCTCCCAGAGTGCTAGGATTACAGGCCGTGAGCCACCGCGCCCGGCTGAAAGAAGGTTTTTATTCCCCCAACGGACGTTCCTTGCGCATCTCTGATGCGACGAGGGAGCACAGCGTTTGCCGCAGAGCTGCAGGACTGCAGGACCCTCCCTCCACGCGCCTGAGCCCCGGGGACGCCGGCGCGCCTGGGAAAGGTCGTGTGGTGTCTGTGCGTTCTTTCTTCCCTCGCAGAGGCTCCTTGTCCCCTCGCTCTCCACTCTTTGCAATGCATTTCCCGCCTCCTCCTCCACTCGCTGTTCCACCCCTGTCCCCTCAGCTCTCGCTCAGCTGGTCACCTGGAGTCTCCTTTCGCCCAGAAAACGCAAGTAAGCCAGAAGCAGACAGCCGGAAGCTCCGCCGGCGCCCCCCTTGTCTCTGTTGCTGGTGACCGGTCCCTGCCTCCTCAGCCCTCCTCTCACCTGCCCCGGGGCGTCCTCCGCCTTCTCCTCCCTCCCCGCCCCCTCTCTGCACGGCGCTGCACGGTTCCAGCAGGATAAGATGCGTGGCTCTCTCTTCTCTCTTAAGGACTCGCTCTGACAAACTGCTGTCTGGAGGCACCCGGCCCCGTTCGCAGACTTGGCTGTGCTCTGAACGATTCCTCTCCTCCCGTCCTCTCGGAACTGGCCCTAACCTACCCTTCTTCCTCTCCCGTCCCCCGGAGTGCCACTGTCACGGTCCCTCCACCTGGCGAAGCCAGTGGCCCGTCTCCGACGCCACCCTCCTTGGTCCAGGAGCAGCATCCATGCAGTAGGGCCCCTCCTTGCCGCAGCTCCGTCCTCACCTGCTGCGGACGCAGCTCTTCTGGTTCCTCCTCCCTCGGGGCTACTCCCCTTCATCCTCTGCTCCTCTTCCCCTGGCGTGCGGTGCGCACACACCGAAATGCCCACCGCTCTCTCCTCGGACGGGTATTTCAACGACGGTAGTTGGTAGCGGGACCTTTAACTCCAGGACAAACTGGGTGGGGGCTCATGAATGCTGAGAATCTGGTGCCAGCCAGGTGCAGTGGCTCAGACCTGTAATCCCAGCACTTCGGGAGGCCAAGGCAGGAGAGGGTGCTTGAGGCCAGGAGTTTGAGACCAGCCTGGGCAACATAGCAAGACTCTGTCTCTGCAAAAATTAAAAAAAAAAAAAAAGAATTAGCGGGACATGGTAACATGCACCTTCGGTCCCGGTGACTCAGGAGGCCGAGGCCAGAGGATTGCTTGAGCCAGGGAGTTTAAGGCTGAAGTAAGCTATGGAGTTCTTCTGTACTCCGTCCAGCCTGGGTGATGGAGTGAGGCTCTGTCTCTCTAAAAAAAAACAAACAAAAAACTAAAGACTTTGGTGCCGACAGAGATGACGCCATCGCGGCATGTGGTTTGGCTCGCAGGTGTCGGCAGCAAGAAGGACGTGGTCTTCCTCATCGACGGGTCCCAGAGCGCCGCGCCCGAGTTCCAGTACATCCGCACCCTGGTGGAGCGGCTGGTGGACTCCCTGGACGTGGGCTTCGACGCCACGCGCGTGGCCGTCATCCAGTTCAGCGAGGACCCCAAGGTGGAGTTCCTGCTGAACGCCCACTCCAGCAAGGACGAGGTGCAGGCCGCGGTGAGGCGGCTGCGGCCCAAGGGCGGGCGGCAGGCCAACGTGGGCAGCGCCCTGGAGTACGTGTCCAGGAACATCTTCAAGAGGCCGCTGGGCAGCCGCATCGAGGAGGGCGTCCCGCAGTTCCTGGTCCTCGTCTCCTCGGGGAGGTCCGGCGACGAGGTGGACGACCCCGCCGCGGAGCTCAAGCAGTTCGGCGTGGCGCCTTTCACGGTGGCCAGGAACGCCGACCGGGAGGAGCTGGTCAAGATCGCGCTGAGCCCCGAGTACGTGTTCTCGGTGAGCACCTTCCGCGAGCTGCCCGGCCTGGAGCAGAAGCTGCTCGCTCCCATCGCCAGCCTCACGTCCGAGCAGATCCAGCGGATCCTGGCCAGCGCCCGCTACCCTCCCCCAGGTGAGAGCGTGGCGGCTGCCGCTTCCCTCCGGGGGTCTTTGATGTTGAACACACGGGCTCCCAGGCCGAGGTGCGCACGGTGCATTCAAATAAGGGTGCTGCTCCTGGGCCTTCATGGTGCCGACGCCCACCGGCCAGGGGCCCCTGGGACACACCTGCCACGGGCCACGCTGGGAGATGGGCAGCCCCGCAGGCCATGGGGCTGCTCAGGGAGAGGGTGCCGGAAAGGCCTCAGGGAACCCGAGCGAGGGCAGGTCGCTGTGCGGAAGCCTCCCCGAGGGAGTGGGGCTTCGGCCCGGACTGGGTGTCGCGAGGCAGTGGAGGTGACCCCTGTGGACGGAAAAAAATCCAAACCCTGAAATATTTGAAAGACGTTTTATTCTGAGCCAAATTTGAGGACCATGACCCGGAGCCACTCTTAAGAAGGCTTGGGCAAGTGGCTGGGTTACAGTTCGGTTTTATACATTTTCAGAGAGACAGGGGTTACAGGCAAAGTCACAAATCAATACATGAGAGGCATACATTGGTTTGGCCCCAAAAGGTGGGACATCTCGAAGCGGGGGCGGGGGGGCTTACAAGTTATAGGTGGGTTTAAAGATTCTTTGGCTGGCAATTGGCTGAGAGAGTTAGACTTTATCTAGAAGATCAGAAAGGATATGCTTATTTTAAGATAAGGGTGTGAGCACTCTGGGAGGTCCAGACAGGAGGACGTTTTAAATTTACAATAGGCGCCTGCTAGGATGCTTTAAGGTGCTTTAAATTTACAAATAGGCATCTGCTAGGATGCTTGAGTTAAGATATTTTAAATTTATGATAGGCATCTGCTAGGATGCTTGAGTTAAGACAGGGGCTTCTTATCTTTTAGGTGATGTTAATGCCATACCAGAATCAGGTTGGCAAGGAAACCACCGCTTCATTTGGTTAACAAAAGCCGCTTAGTGGGACCTGACCCAGCTGGCCTCCTTAGGAAGGAGTTTTTAGCAAAAGAAAAAGATCAGAGTTGAGTCCTCACCCCACACCTGACTGTCTGGTAGATCGTACCTGGAGGAGGACGGCCGTGGCGGGGATGGGTGAGGCAGCCGTGGCCACTCCTGTCACGTGTCATTCTCGTGGTCCGGAGCACGTTTTTCTTTTCACCTGTGTTCCTACGTGGCTGCAAAGCGGGCTCGCTTCCGCCTTGGCCCCTGGCGGTGGCAGAGCGGCCTCGTCTGAGGTTGATGTTGTGCCTAAGAGGAAAACCCCGAGGCTGGGCGTCCGGGCCAGCGCCCGCTGCGGGGGCAGGTGTGCCGTCTCTCAGAGCGATGGCTCAGGACGCACCCCGCTCAGCGTTCACCCCGCCGCGCGCGCCCGGGGACTGGCCCAGGAACTCGCGAGGCCAGCGGCGGGTTGAAACGTGCCGAGTGGCAGCTTGTCCGTTTAACACAGTGGCACCTGAGAGGCACATAAAATCCCAGCTCACAGGAAAACGTGGCTCATTCCCCCTGGGTCCTTTTGATTCGTTTTGTAGTTAAAAAGTGGGCTCATGCGAAGAAAACAGGAGAAACATTAGTGAAGGTGAAAACTCTGTATAAATGCTAGAGAGACGCGAGCAAAAACAAACAGAAGGAAGCCAAAAAGAGGAGGCACCGCCGATGACTTTGTATGAAAGGTGCGCTGCGCCCAGGGGCTGAGCCAGGACCCGTCCCCGGGATGCAGTCGGGACCCTCCCGGCTGGCTGTGGCCTCACTCGCTAAGGCGTGGCCTCTGGCAGTGCCAGGGCCTTTGACCTCAGGTGTCTCTCTCTTCGTGTACGGCAAAGATGTTGGCCCCAGCAAAGCCGGCCTCTTGCGGAGTGACGCGCCTGACTTGTAGGTTCAGGAAATCCATAGGTCATACGCGTATCGTGATCTAAACTGCTTATATATTATACATGAGTGAATTTTATAGGCACACAGACGCAAAATTGTAGCAAACCTAGATAGAAAAGCGCTGTGGACAAACCTTAAAAATATTTCAGAAGTGGACATTTGTTTTGTGACAAAAGGTTATTTTTTTTTTTTTTTGGACAGAGTCCTCACCTTGTCCGCAGGCTAGAGTGAGTGGCGTGCGCAGCCTAGCTCACGGCAACCCAAACTCTGGGCTCAAGCGTCCCTGCTGCCTCGTCTCCTGTAGCTGAGACTACAGGCATGCGCCACCTGCCCGGCTGATTTTTTCATATATACGTTGTCCAATTAATTCTTCTGTTTATAGTAGAGTTGGGGATCCACCCTGGCTCAGGGCGGTCTCGAATCCTGACCTTCGAGCGACCGCCGCCTCGAGCCTCCAGAGTGCTAGGATTGCAAGCGTGAGCCACCGGCCCGCCCAAGCTCTTGATCTTTTGTGGTTACCTCAAAAAAGCCCAAAGACCGAAGGTCAACGCGTGTTGGGGCACGGAGTTTTAAGCGATGGTGTGAATGCTGGGGCGTGACGCAAAGCTCAGAAACACGCTGACGTCTGTCCCTCTTTCTCTCCTCTCTCTCTCTCTCTCTTTTCCTTCTCCGCCGTTGTCCATCTCTCTCTCTCATCCTCTCTCTTCTTCTCGCTCTCTGTCGGCGGCTGAGAGGACGCTGCGGACATCGGCCTTCCTGGTGGACCAGCTCTGACGCGTCAGCCCCGACGGCACGGCCACGTCGAGACTTCGGAGCAGAGATGTGCAGAGCTGGACCTCGGCCAAACAAGTGGGATCGGGCTGGTGCAGTCAGCACGACGTCGTCCCGAGTCTACCTGAAGACCTACAGGTCCATGGCCCCCGTCTGACCCATCCCGGCGCCTGCGGTTCAAGGGGCCCCCGCTGAACACCGCAAAAGCCTGATTCAGTGCGAGAAACCTGTTTTGAAGTCGCCGGAGCCGGATCGAGGACGGGGTGCCCAGCACCCTGTGCTGTCTGGGCGGGAAGTCCAAATACGTTCCAGGTCGCCAGGGATGCGCCCTCGGGCATCGGAGTTGGGGTCGGAGACCGGAACGTCGACAGAGCCGAGCTGCAGGCCATCACCAACAACCCCAGGCTGGTCTTCACGGTGCGAGAGTTCAGGGAGCTTCCCAGCTTGGACCAGAGGGTCATGAGCGCCTTTGAGCCCTCCGCAGCCACGCCCGCCCCTCCGGGCCCGGCGCCTCCTCCGCGGCCAGGTACGAGCCCCGCGTCTCGCGGCCGGGGCGCCCGCCGTCCGTTTGTTGCTTAGTTTGAAAAGTGACTGGCATTCCTTTTAGCGATTTCCTTCTCTCGAGGTTGCTTCCGCAGGTAGTACTAGAAATTAAGTGCTGGGAAAATAGTTCAGTTGACATGATAGAGGGAGACATTTCCCAGAAAGCACGTGACTGCCGCTCTGGCGCTCCTGAGGCCAGCTGCGCCCCCCCGGGGAGGGTCCCATCAAGGTGCATTTGAGGGGCGATCGCGGACACGGTGGTGCCCAGAGTAGGACAGCATCCTCCAGACTGGCCAGGCCATTCCCCACGGACGTGACTTCGGCGTCAGCCCGTGTCCAGTGGTGGGATGCCTGCCCTGGTCCAGGCACGCCTCCTTCCTCAGACTGGGGTGACCATCAGGAAACACCTCCCCGGAGGACTTAAAACTGTCCACCTGCAGCTCCTACCCCATGTTCCTGGCTGCCAAGAGCAAAGCGGGTCCCTGCACCACCCACACCTTTCCTTGCTGCTCCTCCAGGTGACAGCGTCCAGACACCTGCAGCAAACCGTTAGGCTTTCCAAGGCGGGGGGTCTGTATTCCTGTTTCTCTCTGTCACTGCCTCCCTCAGGGCTGGCTGTGGCCCATCTTGTACCTCTCACGCTGTCTCTAATTTTTTTCCCTCTCTACTCTGGCCTTGACTGCTTGATTACAATCAAGAAATTGCACCCCCCCCCGCCGCTGTTTGCAGCAGGCTCTCACAAATCTCTCAGAGCATTCTCTAAGGTTCCTGGGGTCCCTTCCCAATTTCTCATCTGCTTCTCCCAGCCCTTCCCTGCCCTGCCCCAACACGCCTCTCTCTACTTCTACTACCTTTTTTTTTTAAGCAGGAAGAGTTTAGGGGCATTTCCTAAAACACCTGAGATCACAGACTGTCAATTCCAGGTCCCTGTTGAATTCCTGGCATAAAAACACGTTGCATGGGACAACCGGGACTCCGTGTCCCTGGGTTTTCATGAGTCCTTTCCTTTTTGTTTGGATGATTTGTCATTTGTCTTCTTCTTTTGGGCCTTATGTTTGCGAGCTGTGGATTCGGGAACTAGAGAGGCGTGGCTTAGGGTGAATCGTTTTACTGTGAATGAATTGCTAGGAATGTCTTATTTCAATTCTTCCAATTTGTAGTCCATATATTTATGTTCTGGGTATTGAAACCACTTTCACTTTTACCATTTTTAGAGAAGAAGAAAGCGGACATCGTGTTCCTGCTGGATGGGTCCATCAATTTCAGGAGGGACAGTTTCCAAGAAGTGCTCCGCTTCGCGTCTGAAATCGTGGACACGCTTTACGAGGACGGCGACTCCATCCAGGTGGGGGTGGTCCAGTACAACTCCGACCCCACAGACGAGTTCTTCCTGAAGGACTTCTCCACCAAGAGGCAGATCATCGACGCCATCAACAAAGTGGTCTACAAGGGGGGCAGACACGCCAACACCCGGGTCGGCCTTGAGCACCTGCGGCTCAACCACTTCGTGCCCGAGGCCGGCAGCCGCCTGGACCAGCGCGTCCCACAGATAGCCTTCGTGGTCACGGGAGGGAAGTCGGCGGAGGACGCGCAGGAAGTGAGCCTGGCGCTCACCCAGAGAGGGGTCAAGGTGTTCGCGGTGGGCGTGAGGAACATCGACTCGGAGGAGGTTGGGAAGATAGCGTCCAACAGTGCCACCGCCTTCCGGGTGGGCAACGTCCAGGAGCTGTCGGAGCTGAGCGAGCAGGTCTTGGAAACTCTGCACGACGCAATGCATGAGACCTTGTGCCCGGGCGTGTCCGACATTTCCAAAGGTAACCCCCTTTCCGCACCTGTTTCCCAGCCTTTCCTGCTGACACTTGTGTTTTCCAGCCATCTGGATGCCCAGAGCTGATCTGTGGCTCTTCTTGGTTCTTCTTCGTACATTTACTCCTATTGCCTTGCATCATTCGGCTAACTAATAGCCACTGCCGTTGGACGTTCTTCCAGGACAAGAGTGGAAGTTCATCTTTTACTCTTATCAGATTTATTTTCTCCCCTGTTCTCTAACTCCTCAAATAACTCAGACTTATCGATTCTTGTGTCTGATTACAGATTTATCAGATCAATTATTTAAGATAAAAGTATTTGCCTTTTCAAGTAACTTTAAAGCACGAACTCGGGATGTGCCTAAAAGCCAGCAGTGCGTCATCACGCCAAAATTGATCAGCACCACCCAGAAAGCAAACGTATTCAGATTGCCTATAATCTTGGCTCTCAACAGCTACGCCCGTTTCTCCCTGTGCGGGGGGCAGGTCTAATTGCTTCTCAGATCTCGCGAGGAGGAGGTCCCCTCCTGCCGCCGTGTTGCTGTGTCGGCAGAATGCATCTGGCCAGCCTCTGCTCAGAGCTCACCGCCTGCGCTTCTTCCCTTCAGCTTGTAACCTGGATGTGATCCTGGGGTTCGACGGTTCGAGGGACCAGAACGTATTTGTGGCCCAGAAGGGCCTGGAGTCCAAGCTGGAGGCCGTGCTGCACAGGATCAGCCAGATGCAGAGGATCAGCTGCAGCGGCAACCAGATGCCCACGGTGCGCGTGTCGGTGGCGGCCAACACCCCCTCGGGGCCCGTGGAGGCCTTCGACTTCGGCCAGTACCAGCCGGAGATGCTGGAGAAGCTCCAGGGCCTGCGCAGCCAGCACCCCTACGTGCTCACGGCGGACACGCTGAAGATGTACCAGAGCAAGTTCAGGCAGTCCTCGCCCAGCAGTGTGAAGGTGAGCGGCTGCCCCTCGCTCCAGGCGCCCCCGCGCAATGTCTGCGTTTTTACCTCGAAGGAGAAATGCTTTGGCTCTGGAAGCCCCTTCCCCCCACGTACGATGCCTTCCGCGTTTGGCCGGGTTTCTAGTGCCTGTATGTAGGCGTCCTTTGCTTACTGACCGATCATACCTTCACGCGATGCCTGCCCCGGTCTGCTAGTCTTACTTGAGTGCTAAGGAGGGAAAGTTCCCGGAAGTCAGTAACTGAGTCTGAATGAGTTGCATGTGCGACTGATGCCTGTTAGTGATAGTCCTACCCACTAAATAAGGCATGTTCTCTCTCTCTCTCTCCTTGTTATGTGTGTACATACATGCACACACGGGGCACACGCATTATTGTTGTTGTTAATTTTCTGGGGCTGTCATGGTGAAGTTCCACAGACTGGGTGGCTTTGATGACAGAAACTTGTTTTCGCGCCGTCCTGGGGGCTGGAAGTCCCCCGAGGTGTCCGCAGGGCTGGTTCCCTCTGAGGCCTCTTTTCTCGGCTTGTAGATGCCGCCTTCTCCCTGTGTCCTCACTGGGTGTCTCTGTGTGTGTGTCTCTGTCCTCATCTTCTCTTCCTAGAAGAAGGACACCACTCGTACTGGATTAGGGTCCACTCTGATGACCCCATTTAGCTTAATGACCTCTTTAAAGACCTGTCTCCAAATACAGTCACAGTCCGAGGGGCTGGGGATCAGGACTTCAATGTTTGTATTTTGGGGGGACACAGTTCAGCCCAGAACACACACACACACACACACACACACACACACATACACTTTCCAGAAGCTACATCATATGAATGGGAGAGTCACGTGAGCTGTTTTTGTTGTCGTTGCTGCTTGTGCGCATTCACTAAAACACGCTCCTCCACTTTGTGAGCAATGTCAAAGACCTGTGCCCATGCGTAAGTTTCCCTTGACTTTGGCCCTCAGTTTCCTTAACTGTAAAATGGGTTTGAACCAGTGAATCTCTCCTTTCCCTTTCTGTAGACAGTCTGTGGTGTTCCTTTCTCTTTGGGCTGGGGTTCGATTCCTTTTTTTTAATTTTCAGGTGGTCATTCATTTTACCGATGGGGTGGACGGAGATCTGGCAGATCTACACAGAGCCTCTGAGGACCTGCGACAGGAAGGTAGACGCCCTGCCCTCTAAGCACCAGCAGTGAGGCCAGGCGCGCAGGGCGTGCGGCCCTGCCGGGGAGAGACTCCTGTTCTCGGAGTCCTTTGAGGGAGCAGTTGGTCTTGGAGGACTCTTCCTCCAGCTCTTGGCCCTTCATTGCCCGCCTGGGGCTATGGGACGGGGCTTCCCGCCGAGGACAGCTTTACTGCCCTGTCCTGGCAAAGGCCCGTGGGTTCTCAGGCTTGTTCAGGTGGTAGAATGTGCAGAAAGCATGATGGTTTGCAAACGATCATGGAACGTCGATTCACTTGACTTCGTCATATAAAGTAGGATTTAGTATACTCGCAAAAAATATTGCTCTATTTTTGGTTTGTGGTTGTCGCAGCTCAAAAACGCTACAACATTTAAATACAAATACATGTACATAACATAAATAATGTAAGCATTCGCGCCAAAGTCAGGCGACTGGAGCCAGCCATGCCTGTTATCAGATGTGACATATGACTGTTCATTTACTTTGGAATTTGTTAACACCGGCCATGAAAAGTGGACGCCAGTGCTAAAAGTTGAAGAAGAATTCATGGAAGTGCAGCTTAGCACAGGAACATTCTATTTATTGGCTTACTTTTCCGAAGGGAGACGGGACTGCTATGACCTGATTTTGGAGATGTTAGTGTTTCAGAGTTATGCACACCCGAGTTATGGAGGGCCAGGGTTGGAGAATTCATGCATAAATGTACTTCACGGGTGCCACTTTCTGTATTTATAGTGATAAGTTTAGTCATTGACATATCTGAAATGATTCAGTATTTCAACTGCTAAAAGCCAAATTTTATATTGAAGTTTCCTTTAAAAAATAGCCGGGAGAAAAGACACTGCAGCTCTCCAGTGCCCGCATGGGCCCTGCCAAATTTGTCTTTCCCTGCAGGTGTCCGAGCTCTGATCCTGGTGGGCCTGGAACGCGTGGCCGACCTGGAGCGGGTGACCCAGCTGGAGTTCGGGCGAGGGTTCATGTACGACCGGCCTCTGAGGCTCAACCTGCTGGACTTGGATTACGAGCTGGCAGAGGAGCTCGTGAGTTCTCTTCAGTGCCTTTAAGCGCACACAAGTTCAGATTTTTGGCATCTCAAGAGGATAAAGTCAGTTATCACATGGTCATGGGGTAGGGTGTCTGGGTGGATAATCTAATTCATTTAGTTCACTGGGAACATGACTTATTGCCATGCCACGTGTGGATCCCGGAACTGTCGCCCGTGACCGGCCGGAGCGTGGTCTGCGGGAATGCTGCTGTTGCCATGGGAACGCTGCTGTTGTCCTGGGATGTGCTTTGCTCCCCTTAGCAGGTGCCTCTTTTAACGTCCTTTCGCTCAGACTGTTCCTGGGAGGCAAACCGTGGTGACCGCCCTGTCTCCAGGCAGGAAGCAGTGCCCGGGGCCTCTGAAACCTACACGGTGCAAACAAGAATGTGCAGAAAAGAAGGGCCATTTCTGGGCGCAGAAGCGCTTTTATGGCCTTCTTCCCTAGTTCCCCTGGTGCGAATGGAGGTGCCCCAGGAGGCTTCCTAATCCTCCCCCTCCAGCCTCTCTCAACTCCGGGTGTCACTGTCTGGGTTTGGAGTAGGGGCGGGGCTCGGGGAGACATGGGGCTGCGTGGTGACCTCCAGACCCTGGAGGTCTTTGGTGGTGGCAGTAGTTGGGCACGGCTACGTGAATGGGACGAACCGACTCTGCCTCTTCCTTCCCACCCGCCTTCTTCCCAGGGTGAGAATGAGGATTTTTTTATTGGGTGGAAGAAGGATGAGTTAGTTGACAAATCTGGAGAAAGAAAGCGAAAGCTCTAGGAAGCTCATTGCAAGGAGATGCGTGTGACCACTAGCACTTTAGCAGGTGGAAATGTATTCGGGGTGTGCACTTTACCCCATAAGGTCAGGGGCTGGCTGGGACAGGAATGTCAAGGGTGTTTGGTAGGTGTTGGAGGCACTGTCGACCTAAAATTGTGGCGCTTGTGGCTCAAAAAGGCCGGGAACCCTGTGCCTGTCCCCGCTCCCACACCTGCTCCAGAGGTCTCCCCCGGGCACCTCCTCTGGGCTGGCACCATATTGTTGATGGTGACCATGGTTTCGAGGAAGGGCCGTGGATCTCTCTTCCGGACCCACCTTCAGTCCTGGCCGTCTGCAATTTGTCTGTTAGGTTTTGCACTTTGGAACTCAAACATATGTGAGTTATACTTAAGAATATCTATGTTGGAAACTTCCAGAAATCAGGTGTAGGCAGAGGTGACCTTGTGGATGAGATTTATCTTACTTTCGTTGTTCTTTACTCTCCCGTTGGTGACATCCCACTGCCTCTCGACTGCCAAGAGCTGGACCCTCGGCCTAGGCCGGTCTTGGAGGGACAGTCTTTGGAGTGACTTCACCTTGCCCCGCGGCACCCTCACACATCCGATTTTGGCCTCTTCAGCACATATTTATGGTTTTGTCCTGTGCCTTTCTTGACATTTGCACTTTTTCTTTCTCTTCCTCTGGGTAGGACAACATCGCCGAGAAAGCTTGCTGCGGGGTCCCCTGCAAGTGCTCTGGACACAGGGGCGACCGTGGGCCCCTCGGCAGCATCGGGCCAAAGGTACGGTGGCTTGGCCTTCTTCGCCCGCCCCTGAGTCTAGGTGCTGGAAGGCCGGCGTCACCGCGGCCGGGCAATGCATCTAACGCCACGGCTGGAGGCGGATGAGGGAGAAGGAAGAGGACCCCACGCTGTAGAGGAGGCGTCCTGCGGGGCAGACCCGGGTGCTGGGGTGCCCAGGGTCCTCCCCGTGGAGATGGCTCTGCAGGGCCCGAGTGTCTGCCGCATTCTCCGCCCCCACGGGATGAGGGGCTCTGCTCTTTAACGTTCGGTCCTTCATGCCTTAAAATGACGTTAGAACCAGCGGGTGTCGCCGACTGGCAGCCTCTCTGGGAGCCTGGTCTCGGGGACTCAGCCTCCCCGGCGGGGTGGGGAGGACCTCGATGGGCTTTCCTGGCAGAGGCAGAGCCTTGAGGGTCCGGACGGAGGAACAATCCCGCGCGGTAACGAGCGGGGGGCTGTGAGTTCCAGGAACCCCCTAACGCCAGGGCGGACGTCGGCGCTGCTCTGCCAGGCGAAGGGGCTGGCACAGACACGTGACACAGAGCGAAGGGGACTGGGGGCGTGACGAGCCCGCTGTGCTTTGTTTCAGGGCATCCCCGGAGAGGATGGCTACCGCGGCTACCCTGGTGATGAGGGTGGACCTGTGAGTAAAAGTCGTTTTAGCCCTTAACGTTGTACCCCCTCCTTGTTCCTTGCCTGTTGGGATTGAACTGTGGGGTTCGCCATCGCTCCGGGGGGTCCGGCGCCCACACAGACCCAGGGCCCAGACCCCCACCCGTCCTTGGCTGCCAGGCAGTGGTGTTGGTGCTGCAGGGACACCGAGAGGCTCCCCGGCCCCCCAGCCTTGCTCCGCGTCCCTGCAGTGAGATCTGCTTTCTAACGCCCGCCACTCTCGGTGCTGCAAGCCCCTTGGAGACACGATGACAAGCGGCTCCAACTTGCCAACTGCCTTTGTTTTTCGCAACAGGGCGAGCGAGGTCCGCCTGGCGTGAACGGCACTCAGGGCTTCCAGGGCTGCCCGGGCCAGAGAGGAGTGAAGGTACAGTGGCAGGGGGCGGGAGGAGTGCTCGCCGAGCGTGGGGCGGGGGTCAGGCCAGCTGCATGTGCAGGAGGGACATGCGGTTTCTCCAAGTGCCCCGGGGAGGGGGCAGCTGCCCGTCCGGGCTCCTCTGCAGCCCGTGGCCTCTGGCTGGAAGGCGGCCTCGGTGGGGTGGCTCTGGGAGCTCGGGCCGCGGCTGGAAGGGAGCCGGAGAATGGAGAAATAGTTTCCTATGGAAACATGGAGCGGCCAGGAAACATTCCCGAGGAGAGGACGTGGGCCAGGGCAGAGGGGAGGCTGGTGCGCGCGGCTTCGGCCCCTGGCCCGGGGGCAGCCAGGGAGGGAGGAGTGACAGAGGACACCAGGTGGCTCGGGGGCTGGCGAGCTTCCTTCTCTGCTTGCTGGAGTGTGAAGGCAGGTGCCGGCGGGAGCTGCAAAGCCAGCCTGTGCCTCCCGAGCCCCTTCCCCTGGCTCGTGGGGCCCCCACTCCTGCCCGGCAGCCCAGGCCACCCCAGTGCTGGTTCTAGGCAAATTAGCATTATCACCCCCATGTGATGCACCGAGGGGTGCAAAGGGATGATGAGTCCCTGACGTTAGCATTTCCCGACACTGCGGCATTAGATGGGGGGGTGGCACCAGGCCCGCAGGAAGAGCTAATGTGTCCCCTGTCCCCTTACCTTCCAGGGCTCTCGAGGATTCCCAGGAGAGAAGGTACCCAAGCTTGTTTTCGTTTCTGACGATGAAAAGTTTCCCAGTATTTCTCGTTTCTTCCTTTGCTGGAATAGCTTTCTACACTCACTCGACTGTCTCGGTCCCTCGTAGGGTGAAATAGGAGAGATCGGGCTGGACGGTCTCAACGGCGAGGAGGTGAGTGGTTCGCTCTCCAGGCCTGAGCTTCTTCGGGTTCTAACACCTGTGGTGACATTGCCCCAGGTGCGACCTCTCATCACTGTCGTTGGCAGGGAGACAAAGGATTGCCCGGCTCTTCTGGAGAGAAAGGGAACCCTGGAAGAAGGGTAGGTCTCTTTCCAATGTTGCCGTTGTGGAAAGAATAGAAGCATTCATTTAGGGAAGAGTCATTTCCTATACCTGTATAGGTAGAGCCCGCTTCCTCCAGGCAGCCTTCCCTGACTTCCCCTGGGCTGTGCCAGTGCCCTCCTGTCAGCTCTGCCAGGATACATCATACGCAGAGCATGTCCCACAGGGCCAGGGGCTGAGTTTGTTCTGTTATAAATAAAGCTCCAGCGCTTGGCACACGGGTCCCCAGTACATTATCTGTGAATTAACCGAATAAATAACAAATATTTGGAAGTGAAAATTTACCTTCGTGGCAGACACGTGAATGGTGAACATCATAAATCTATTTAATATTTATGAACTGTGAAGAATGTGATGTTTAGGGTGAGGTACAAACGGAAACATCTCGTTTTTAGCTTCCACTTGTGTTTTTTCATTTAGGGTGATAAAGGCCCCAAAGGGGACAAAGGAGAAAGAGGGGACGTTGGCATTCGCGGTGACCCGGTGAGGATTTCTTTCTTGACGGTTCAGAGCCGAGCCCGGGGAAGACGGTGGCGGCAGAGGGGGGAAGGGAAGACTTTCACTTCTGAAATTGCTTTAAAAATTGTTGATAAAATGTGTGCTTTGTCTGTTCCTTACGCGTCTGGGGCTTTCTGGCAGATGATTCTGTTCTCTAGCCGTAAAGATGAGCGAGTGCTGTGCGTCGCCCTAAAAGGTGGTCTCAGGACACCTTACACTTGCTTTTGGAAAAGAGAAGCGTTTGCCGCTTTTTCCGTTTCATGGCTTTGTGAAACCTCTAAGCAAACGGCGCCGCCCCTCCAGGCCACCCTGCCCTGCGGCCAAGGAACGGCAGGAGCCGGGGGCACCCTCCTCCCTGGGCAGAACCGTCGCCCTGTGGGGGGCCGGGCGGGCTCGCTGCCCCGTGGCCGGGTTCTGCAGAGTTGGACGCATGCTGTCTGGATGGGCTGTGGCCGCAGGGACTGTCCCTCGGAGCCTTGGGCTCATGCCGTCACCAATCCTTTCCCGACCGTCCCATTCCTGGCACGCGCGGCTCACCTCCCCCTGTTGTGTTGTTTGCAGGGTGAGTCAGGACGGGACAGCCAGCAGAGAGGACCCAAGGGAGAAACCGGTGACATCGGCCCCATGGTACGGCGCTCTGTGTTCTCGACTCTCCCTGTGCTGAGGGCCTGAGAGATGACACTCACCTTGGCACCTCGGCGGCCGCGGAGGCCGTGGAGGCCGCGGAGGCCACGGACTGGGCCTCTGACGCTGCAGAGCAGCGTGGGACGGGGAGTGGCGGGGCCGTGGGGCCGCCTGCGGGTGCACGTGGAGGAGGGGTCTCCCAGAGGAGCCAGGGCGACCCTTTCCAAGTGGGGCCTCTTCTCTGCCCCTTAGATAGTTATGGAAAGTGCTTGTTACGGCAAAGTCTTGCAGAGGTGGGAACGAACCAAAGTCTAGCGCACCCCGCAAAGTGTCCGACCACCGGCCTGCCGGCGGCTCTTCCGAGCGGATTCACCCCTTTTCCCGC